CTTGCGAGCTTTCCTTCCCCATCGGATAGTGAGCCGGGGTCGCTGAACGTCGTTCAACTAGGCGTTGGCGCCCGGGGATGATCCTGTATTCAAAAAGGCTACTCATCTAATAAAACTCACCACCTCGCCGCTAAACGACCGTCAACAAGTGCCCTCCCCCCACCCCACCCACCCACTCAGCGAACGCAGAGCTCCAGCTCTGACAGGCTTTTGAACGGAATTGACATAATCAACGCGGCAGGTGTTCTCCGGATCTGTGCCGAGTATCAATGCGTTCTCCATGGAAATTGTTTTCGCTGAACGCGGCGTGGCGGCAGAAATGCTCATGGAGAACCCTCAAGAGCTCAGTAGAGTTGACCGGCACCGAAAAAAAAGTCAGGGGCTTTATAGTTCCGGGCTCAAAGACCGAAAGTTCCGGGTGCTGGATCCTGGATTACTCCGGGTGTCACGTCCGGTACTATCGACCTCTGAGCCCGGACTCGTATGTGTGCTTCTCTGTTGAAGTTTCCCGGGAAACTAGATTTTAGCCGGGAACTTCCGGGAAAGCTCCCGTTAATGGAAATGGGGAAGTTTCCACTTTGATACCCAGGGGCAGGCACTACACTGAAAAAAAACAAGTCATGGGCTGTTTAGATATACCGTTCGTTCCGGGTGCTGGAGCCGTAGCTTCGATCGCTCCGGGTGCTACGCCCGGAACTTTCGGCCTGTGAGCCCGAAACTTTCGGCCTGTGAGCCCGGAACGCGGACGGTATATCTTTATAGCCCGTACATGCGGCTTCCACGGCCGGATTTTTTTTTTTTTTTTCAGTGCGTATGTGATGTAGGCGAACATTTCTCCGCTCGCCATGAGCGCACCGTTTGTATTTTCCCCATGACTGTGACGTGTGACGTGCGAGAGAGGAGAGTGGGCGCATGAGTCAGAGCCGTCTGTCTGAGTGTGCGTGACGTAGACGGAGAGTGACTATGAACGGGAAACGGCAACGGGTACTTCGAGGCATACGCGGGTTGACGCGCGACACGCGCGGCTGCGGCGCGAGCAAGGTCGATCCACCGGCCCAGCACAGGCGCCTGCCCAGGCCCGGCCCCGCTAACATTGAGCCAGTCCGCGGATCCGCGAGGTCGCGCCATCACTTTCGGACGCCGCGCGCCAGGCGCCGACCACCACCAGCTTCACGTCCAACACCAACTTACCACGGACTCATCGCCCTTTCCAGAGACAAGAGACCCTCCACTGGCCTCCTAGCGACAGGTGGAAGCTTTTACTTTTGGGGATTCAACACTTCCTTATGGACAATTGTAAGGGAGCAACAGTCATCACTGTTTTCGGCTGTTGCTCTACCTACATGGTGGATGATGAGCTTCGGGTGACGTCATGAGCCAAACAAGTTTCCATAACTTCGGATTGTTTTGACTTTTTTGCAAAATGAAGCTGCCTACACGTTGTTAAACATCAACCATGTAGGCAAGTCAACAGTTAAATGTTGATGTCCCGAAAGTAAAAGCTTGAGTGTCTCTTGTCTCTGGGTGGTTAGTACACCCAAGAAGTGGGCACCTCCACAGACGGGTGGAACTAGACGGAACTCTCCAACTTAGGTGCAATCATATCTGCCAAAGAAATCCATCCACTGAAATAAAATCTCCGGTCGTGGAAGCCGTAGTTACGGGCTGTATAGACATACCGTCTGCGCTCCGGGCTCAGAGGCCGACAGTTCCGGGCGTGGCAACTGGAGTAGCCGAAGCCACGGCTCCAGCACCCGGAACTTACGCCCTTCGAGCCCGGAACGCAGACCTTATGTCTACTTAGCCCGTAATTTTTTTTTCAGCGTCCGCATCGGAAGATATTCCCCAGAAAGAACCTCTCAGATGAATAGGTTTTCAGGATTGGATTTTAGAAGCTGATTCAGGGCTAATATTCCACCCACCGGCTACCACCTTGAAAAAAAAAAAAACCACCCGTGGGAGTCGTACTTATACAGGTTCAGTTACACGATCAAATTGAGCCATCAAACTAAAGCTCTGATTGGTGGAAAAAGACCTGAGATGAGGATGCGACCAATGAGAGGCCCAATTTGATGGCTCAATTTGATCGTGTAACTGGACCTTATGAGCTACACAGACATACCGTTCGCGTTCCGGGCTCAGAGACCGCAAGTTTCGGGTGTAGTCGCTTGCTTTGCAGAAAAACTTTGTGGGAGGGGCGAAGGACCCATTTACCCTTCATTGAGGTCGACCGGTATTGAGCGACTACACGAAATCGCAACTTTCCCGGGAGGGAGGGGGGCAGCAGCCCTCTGGGAGAAAGGGGGGGGATCTCCTCCGGGAACCTAGCTTCCCCGGATCGACATTCACGTTCCCATAACGGCAATCATAGTATTAGAAGCTAGTGTAACGATGGGTTTCGCAAGGCAAGGCGTGGTTTGACAAACAGACCAACTGTCTGAGTCGCGTCAATTCAACTGTCTCCTGAAAGGAACTGATACTGGTAGATACTGTTCCGTATTCAGTTCCGGAGAAGGATAGCAGGCGCCGTTTCAGGTTGTCAAGTTTGCCTCCCTTTTCACACGTCGCCGGACGAGACAGCAAAGCCTTTTCACTTGGAATTCTGGCTCTATACTCGCATCAAGTTGCGAACTTTCGATCAGATTTTCTCCTCCAATATCCGTGTAAAATTTTGATTAAATTTTTTATTGAATTTCCATCTATTATACTGCTGTCCTTAGGAAGAACGCCGTATGGACATTCGAGAGTTGCCAAATGTCTAGGGATAAAACATACATTTTTGAAGAAATTTACGCATGTTTCTCCTCGAAATTTTCAGATATTTTAGATTAATTTGCGAACAAAATTATATGAAAAATTTGAAGAAAAATATCCACAATTTTCCCAGAAAAATCGCTTTTTGTCGAAGGAAGTATGCCAACGTCTGGGGGCTCATACGGCATTCTTCCTTAGCACGGCAGTATATGCACCAAAATTTAATCATATTTTTGCCAAATTTGTACCGAATTTTTCCCATTTTGAATTCTCGGATCCGAAGAGATCCATGGAGCCTGAGATGGACCTTCAACTGTCAGCACTCTCACTCCAAAGGTACGACGTGATATCCAAAAACAAATTTAATGATGCGACATGACAACGCCGCAGTCGCTCTTGGCCTTACTAATCCAGTGCTGCGGTTCCCGCGCCTTTTCCGCGACGCGCGACGCCAAGGATGAGCAGCGTGTTGCCTGTCCGCTCCACCAATGACGCCTCAATCGCTGAATAACGAGGATTATAATGGACGGATTGGCAACCAGGGACCACTCGGTACACTTGTCATCGTCGAGTGTCCTGCCCTCATCAGCGTCAACACATGGATCCATGAATCTCAAAACCGAGCAAGTACATAGTTGGATGAGCCCTGAGTCCAAGTAGTATACATGAGGTTCAGGGCTCAAAAGAAAATGGGAATGAGAGGTTTTTACATGGACGAGTTCACATGTGGCCCCAGGGGAAGCCGAATCCCTTCTGACGATGATGCTCGTAGTGAAACTTAGGATTCAGCAGGGGGACCATCCAGAATCATTGTCACATGAGTCCAGGGTGTCTATAAGTCCGGAATTTCCGGAAAGTCCAGAAATAGTACTGATTTTTCAAGGGCGGTCCGGAAGTACTGAAAAAGTGCGGAAATTCCGCAAGAAGGCCCGGAATTTTTTTCATTTTTTTCGTCATTTTTGTCGCAATTTAAAGGAGAAATTCACATTTTTGAAATTTTTCGAATTTCGTCAATTGGAGGTACTGAAAAAGTACTGAATTTTTCTGATGAGGAGGCACTGAATTTCTTGGGAATGTATTGAAAAAGACCTGTAAAATTACTGATTTTTGGCCAGCCTGTTTTATTAGACATCCTGCGAGCCATAGGCATAGCTTGAGCTAACCTCGTCTAGTGGTCTAACTTCAGACCAGTGAAAGGCACTGTATGCACGAATATCAGTTGAATCGCATTTAGCAAAACGTAACCACTGTGATCACAGTGTTTTCAAAATTGTGCAAATCCTGTTTTTCTTTTAAAAAAGCTAAATATAAGTACAGTATTAAAATTTACACAATTATTTCCCTTTGAAATGAACAATTTATCGGTGGGATGCAAAAGCCATTCGCTATTTTGGAAGATTTTTCAGATAATTATGAACAAGCAACATTTTAACAACACTGTAATTGCGCTGGTTTCTTTTTGCTTGAAATGCGAGCCAAATTGCGACCGTCTACAGCCCCACAGGATAAGAAATCCTAGTGCGAAGCGATGGCCAAGACCATGCACGCACGTAGGTGCAGTTTTCTTGGATGCAACTATTCAAGCTTCAGAGATAACCGTGTTGCATACGTAAGGAAATGCAGGCGCTTTTACTTTGCTTGCGCTCACAGCGCGGAGTGAGCGCAGACGGCAGGCTAGAGTGACTCAATTTTGATATTAATACTACTTTAAGCTCCCTGAGCCCCTAAATTTTCATTTTCATTTCAGTTCGTTCGGTCCAGCGTTCTACTGGGCCGATTTCCATAATTTTTACGGCTGCTGACACCCGATAGCCCCTAAATAATAAGCCCGCTCTATTCAGATTTTGGAAGTAAGATGGTTGTGTTTTCTTTTATTTCGTGCTAAAGTGGCGCATTCTCCAATTTAAACAGTTTGAATATTTATTTTTGTGTCCCGGTCGTTCTAAAGATCGGTCGGGCCGATTTTCGTGATTTTTGCGATAAACTCGAGGCCATGAACCCGCTGTTGTATTAAAATTAGCTTACGGATCACCGCGAAGCGTCCTCTGGGGGTTGGGCCGCGTAGCGACCCGGAGGCATTGCACCCTAGTCTCCTACCAAGCTGTAATATTCAACGGTCAAAACACAATTGTGCGAAGAGCTTTTGAGCTTCGGAACTGACTTCGATGGAAAAAGATTTTGATAATTTTTTCGTCAAATACTTTTCTTTCGTTAATTAATTCATTGGTCTTTTCTTGTGATTTCAGTATCAAGTAGCGCAACTGTACTCAGTAGCCGAAGCAAGTAAGAACGAAACTGGCGGCGGTGAGGGAATTGAAGTCATCAAAAATGAGCCGTTCAGTCCAGGCTGCAACGAGCCGAAAATTCCTCTCTTGGGCGGCAAATACACGACTGGGCAATACACGTATAAAATATACCATTTGCAAAGGTAATAATTTTCGTCACTATCAACATCCACTAGGTCACATCGAAACGAAAAGGGACCAGTTTTTGAGGCATGGAAAGTTTACTTAACAGGTTTACTTAGTTTGCTAGTTGGTGCAGTTTTTAAGGTGTTTAAAGCAAAATGCACTTTGATCCAAAGGATCAAAAGTTTTAGTCTTTGGTTTCTTGTAGCGATGGAAAATTCAAAGCAACTAACTCAGCTCGCTTTTCTTTGGAAAGTGAAATGAGATCGTCAAAAGTTTGATGGACCCAATCCAATAGCCTTTGTCACACTATAAAAATACTCCATCAAAATGTCAAGGTCAAGGGCTGTGATTGGTCCAGGAAGTCATTGAATAAGCCAATCACAACACCTGACCTTGATATTTTGATGACCAGCTTTGATAGTGTGACACAGGCTAATGCTGACCTGCTGAAAGAACGCCGTGTGAGCTTTTAGACGTTGACATATTATTTCCTTCGATAAAAAACGAATTTACTGGGAAAATTGTGAATATTTTTCCTCAACATTTTCAGACTATTGCTGCAATTTAATCTGAAATTGATGAAAATTTCATGGAAAAATATGCGTGGCTTTCCTCAAATACAAAAATACAGTGTACAAACTGAGGAAATTTGGCAACTCTCAAGTGCTCATTCGGAGATTTTCCTATGCATACAAGAATGAGACGAAATTTTCAGTAGAGCAATTTTGTCGAGTCGGGTCGAAAAATCGGAAATCGATTTTCAGAAGTTTAAGTTGCAAATAGTTCAGTTAATTTTTGTGCTGGCAGAGGCTCTAGGTTCGCATTCAAAGCTGGCAACCCCATATCCTGAACGCGTAGCAGATAAGAATTTTAAATGCCTTTTTTGCCAAACTATGATTTTTGAACTGGAAACTTTAAACCACCTCAGCTTTGGTTGAGCTCGACATTTTTAGACCCCAAATGTTCGGAGAACAGTCCTTTATGTTCAGGTATCAATAACTCAATTTTAAGTTTTTGTGGACTGTAATGCCTTTTTTCTCATGGACAATCACATATTTACATGAAAGGAGTAAATTTGATTTGAAAATTTTGAAATTTATCTTATTTTTCAGTTTACACTTCTATTTTACATTTCAGTTTCAGTCTTCTCTACTGTTCGTTGTTTGTTGGAACTATACAATTACATCAGCTTATCTTAACTTTAAATTTTATTGTTTGTTATTTTTTTTACAGCAAAGTGCCTCCTTTCATCCGGTACCTTGCACCCAAAGGCTCTCTAGAAATACACGAGGAAGCATGGAACGCTTATCCATACTGTAAAACAGTTCTAACTGTAAGTTCTTTTACTATCTAAATTAGTGAAAAGCACCGCACCATAGGTTGTCCTGAAAATCTACAATTTTCCTTATCATGAAGACATGATGTATACTTTCACTCGAAAAACACGACCCAACTAGCATTTTTCAACCAAAAAGTTACAATTTATTGAAATAAATATGCACGTTTGATGCCATTTTACCTGAGGGAAATCTTTGCTAGTAGAGCTAAGTTCCTTTTGCTTTTCAACTTGGTTTGTGCAGATACTTGAAAATTCCTGATTTGTATCTCAAATTTCTTTACATGATAGTACCAGAATTCTAAAATATTCATGAAATATTCTTCCAATTACCATAGAACTTGATGAAACTGATGAAGCATGTGAATTTCCAATCTAGACTTGTGCCCCTCAATATTATTATGAAGAAACGTGTGTCTAATTTATGCCGTATGAACTGGATTTAAAAAGTCACTCGGGAGACCTCTCTCTCCGTTGGTGCTTTTATTAGGTGCAGTAGCGTTGGTGCATGCTCAGAAACATCTGATTTGTTTAATCTCAAATGTGTTGTCATCTTCTCTTTCAGAATCCTGGTTATATGAAAGAAAATTTTTCTATTTTAATTGAATCCTATCACATTGCAGATTCAGGATGTCAAGACAATGTAAGTGTTTAACCACTCTTTTTTGTTTTCCCTTTTAGAACCCTGGATTTATGAAAGATAATTTTTCAATTTCTATTGAATCCTTTCACATTGCAGACTCAGGAGATCATAATAATGTAAGTTTTTATCAACACAGCAACAGCATCAGTACTAACCGTCGGTCAAAACTAACAAAGTCCTCTGTATAAACGTCCCTCACCTCAATATCAATTACCAAATGACTAGCCTGGTGGTTGGTGGTATCAGCGGTGTCCTTTTTCCTCCTGCACATGCTTATTGAAATGGGATGATTTCGAAAGTAATTATCTGTGCGACTCACCAGAGACAACCTGCGCACTCGCATGCATATTTACACACTCATACACTCACAAATCTCATTTAAGCTGTTCGTACAGTAAAACACTGTAATTAAATGGGAATTTCCCAGTCTCTCTGCTTTCTATAGGAATGTAATTTCTATTACAGAGAACGTCCAAGAACTTCAATGGCACAACAAGAAGATTGATTTCTTTTTAATTAAGTAGGAAGTTTGGGAAAAAAATACAAAGAAAAATGACACTTAAATTTTTCTAGTTTTTTTTCTTTTTTTTTTTTCTTTTTTTTCGGTGTTGTGGTTTAATATTAAAGGTAGCTCACGTCCTCGTTTAAACATATTTTTACAATGGGACCTCACATCAAATGAAGAACTGCAATTGCAAAACCATGAACTTGGCATAGTTACATGTTTTCATGTTTATTTGTAATTACTTGTGGTAATAACTTGAAATGTGTATTTTCAACTTATCGTCAGAATTAATTTTATTACTAAAAACTTTACAGCTTTAACGGGTTATCCTAGAAACTACTGAAATTTTTCTTGAGCTAATCGTCATTAGTAATCAAGTCCATCAAATCTCTTAGTACTGCCTTAAAAACTTACGATGTATAAATTTACACATTGAATGATGCTCTCTAATGCAATTTATGTGGAGTGGTAGAAGGCATTTTTTATCAAATTCAGAGCTGTTTTTTTATCGGAAAAGTAGATTTGGCTAAAGCCTTAGAGCTACAGTATATGGCATTACTCAACCTTTTTATTGCTGAAGCTTTTCATGTCAAAATTTCATCATCTGAGATGGAAACAAAACACGAAGAACTGAAAAGTGAAAATCTTCGGCGTTTAGCTTATTATCAAGTAGTTCCATACATTGACTCTAAGATCTCGGTCAAATTCCCCATGTCCAATTTTAGTCTTAGCTTCATCAAAAATCAATTCTCCAAAGCTGAGCTATGGGTGATATACCGAGAGCCAGAGGGTCTCAAAAAACTGGGAATATATTCGTCTGATGTAGAAATTATCCCATGTGTCATCTGTAACTGTATTATTTTGTACATAATCTCATCTTGTAATTAAGCCGGATTCTGCCTTTCATGGTAAATTAGTGAAGTGAAAATTAATCAAAAACTGAAGGCAAATATGATAAGTTTTTTTCAAATTGTTTGGTGTTGGGGTAAAAGCTATGAATATATATGTTTATCCTTTGGACTCGGTTTCCATTTGTTTACGCAAATCCAGATTACATGTGGATTTTCTTTGTTTACCTGGAGGTGATGGTTTGCAGCATGTTCTATGTATTTTAAAAATCAATTTAGGAGGGTCCCATAGGAACGGTCCATGAATTATGGGCAAGTTCGTTTCTCCAATCTGTCTTATACAGACAAGCCAGTAGCAATGGTTGTAGCCAAGTTCCTGTTCGTCCAGATAGTTGCTGCTCCAAGAAATGAGTGTACCTGGACTATCATGGACTCTCCCTCTGGAACCTTCCTCGATCGAAGCGATTTTTTTCTGGAAGCCTCGAGCACCAACATTTTTTATATTGACTTTTTTGGCAGATTATGGTTACATAGGAGTAAACATTTTAATTATTAGTTTTTCTTTTAAGAGCCCAAGGAATACTGAGTGGCTCAGTTTTTTTCGTTTCTCCAGAAAATTGGATTTATGCGCTCGGGCTCTTGAGAAAAAAATTGGTTCCATTGTTGTTACACTAAATGCTGTTATTTTGGTCGATGACTTCATGTTTGATGATCGATAAGAGAGACTCCTGTCAGCATGATCATGGTGGAACCACCCGTTTGTTGGCTATTAATCAATACCCATCTCAAGCCAGGATTTATTTAACTTTTAGTTATCTTATGAAAATAGGACTGCCAGTGTGAGCTGAACACTCTGTTGTGACTTCAAATAAAAAATGAAGTTGTTAAACTTTCAAATCCCCATGAAGCAAGCATGGACGTGAAATAAATGAGCAATGCTCTATATGATATACAAGAAACCAGTATCCAAGTACACTTTTCCTACCATTTAAGGCTTAAAAACTTTGTTTTTAATGAGAAGTCTCAAAAAAACATTTAGGCCACAAAGATTATCCAGTTTTCAGGAAATGGCAAAAAATTAATTCTGAATCAATCTTTCATTGATGATTGCCTACAAAAGGGTATTTCTGTCTTGGAAAGTGTGGAAGAAGGGCAAAATAATATTGAATGCATTGCACGTTCATTTTTGTATGTTCATCATTATGTTTTTTCAAAGTTGATCATAACAGGTATTGAAGTTTTTTTGAATGAGTAATCATTCGGAGAGAAATCGAGTGCTAAACTGTATGTAACTAAAAACTACCTTTGTTTTCCTTTTCATACTTCTAGATCCACGAGTTACCACCAGAGAAACTAAAAAATAGAGATGTTATCATGATAGATATTGGGAATGATCCTGTACCACCGGGTGATTACAAGGAAACTGAGGATCCAAAAAAATTCAAGTCACAGAAAACTGGTCGCGGACCCCTCGTAGGAAAGTGGCAAGATTCTGTAAGTATTTACTTAGGAGTATAATCCATCAGTTTTTCTATTGTAACTTAAGTTGTAACCTCAGTAGGTCTTCGACCATCATTTTTATCCAGCTAAAGAGAAAGATTTGGAATGGAGGAAGTAATTATTAGTTGAGTAAAAATCAATATACATATTGCATGAGGAATCAAATACGCCACATGGAAAACAGGTATCTCGCTCAGGTAATTCAAATTTTTGCCAGAATATTATTCAAGAGAAAACTGACTAAATTTTTTGCACTATATTAGCAAATACCTATTTTTAAATTTTCTTAAAAACAAAGCTTTCATTACTTCTCATCCAGTTGTAATTATAGTTCTTTCATTTTTTGAAATTGAAAAATTCATACTCAATTTTTTGAAGTCTATTGCCCTAAAATTAGTGTTCTAAAAATTAAGAGCTAAAATACGATAACTATTTGAATTTTCATTATTCTTCACTTTCAGTCGGATCCTATCATGACTTGTTATAAGCTAGTCACTGTGGAATTCAAATGGTTTGGTCTACAGAATAGAGTAGAAAATTTCATTCAAAAAGCAGAAAGAAGACTCTTTACAAATTTTCACAGGTATGTAATTGCCATTGTTTGCATCACAATATTTATGAAATTATTTTCTATTATTTAATCCATCGAAATATATTAAATTAATTTCTTTTTTCTTCTTCTTTTTTGAAAATGTTTCTTCAGTTTCCCATAGGATGTGGCTTTCATCAAAAGTATTTATTTACTTGTCTAAGAATAATAGTTTGCAAGATGAATGTGTCCCCCCTTTTTTTTCGTAATTATCTTCGATGAAAAATATCTCAAATAGAGCACAGAGGCAAAATTGTGAGAGAGATTTTTGTCTTACTGAATGGAACAATTTGAATTAGATTATTTAAACTTGGAGTTGTACTTAGTAAAGTCTCTTGCAAACTTCAGCTATAGCTGAAACAAAATTCTTATTTGTTTTATAAGGAAAGTAGCGGAAAAATCAAGATGAGTGAATTGGTAATATCTAGAATTTGCACATTCTTGAGCTTCCTGCATCGAGTACAACAAATGCATACTTGATAAAGAAACGCATGATTTGACTCTGTTTTATGACTTCACTTGAAACTCAATATGCCTGCCTATAGTTCCTCAAATTACGACAAATTACAAACTTTCGCCCTTATTAAATTGATGGCTAAATGCAAATAATGCAAACTTCCAAAGATTTTCGATTATGTTTTATTTTCCCTAAGAAATCAAGCTGCTACCTTGCAATCTTGTGTGACTTTTTTTAGGACGAGTGAAGAATATTCAAATAAAATTTCTGTTAAAACTGTTGGTCAGTTTTCCTTAAAAAAAATAAAACATGAGCGGGAACTTACAATGTTGCAATGTTAGTTAGATATTTTTGTACCTCAGCTACTGAAATGCAGATTAGAAAGTAGAAAAGAAAAAATTTTGGGAAAGAGGCATTCATTATGTTGTTTTTTCTTAACTGAAAAACTTTCCCGCTCGAAGGTAGTCATTTTGCGTTTCACATGAAATTATAAAATCGAAGTAAATCGTCTGTACTAAATTAAGCCTATGCTGTTATATATTTTTTGAAGTTAGAGGCTAGAAAATGCTCAAATTCCTAAAGCTGATTGTTGAGTAAGGAGGGAATATCTCTGTTTGCAAGAGCGCCCCTCGTTATTTATGAGCCATTGTATATACAGAGCAACTCCAATTTTTCTCTACCTAAAGTTCTAAATAGGACTATTCATTTATTAATCAGCAACCTTTTGGGTCAAATTTTTGAAGATGTAGGATCATTATGATAAATTTTGCTTTCTTTTCATTCTAATTTAATGTATCAGATATTGTGATTTGACCTGTGTAAAGTTTTACATTTTTTCGAATAACCCCCCAAAAAAAGAAAAAAATAGAAATTCTCCCTGATTTGAATCCTAATTTCTTCATTTTTTAAAAAAGTGCTTACTTTCACATCGATCTTTCCCTTCTCTTAGCCAGTCTTACAATCGTTACTATAATCGTCCTTTTATATTCCAGACAACTCTTCTGCTGGATAGATCGCTGGTATGGATTAACTATGGATGATATTAGGCAACTTGAGGAAAAAACACGAGAAGAACTCGATAAGGTGAATTTTTTTGTTTTTCTTTCTACTAAAATATTCTCAACTGTGGACGCTGATAAGATCCTCATAAAAATAATTCAAATTCAGCTTCAGCAGCATATTTAGACCATTTTCAAAATTTAAAGGAGGCTGCAAAAAATCTGAATGAATTCAGTGTCAGTTAAATTTTGTTATTTTTTTTTTTCCTGTTTTCATTACCTTTTGAAAATAGTAGGCCTTTAAACTGAAATTCTTTATGTTTCGTTTTCAAGAAGATGGCGATTTTTCATCTGGAGCTATGGCTTCACCACTGTCAACGATGCATAGTTTCTATGCAGCTGCATTGTGCTGTTCTCATTTCCAAAAATGTTAGCTCTTTTTCGGATTTTTTATTTTGACTTCAAATTTTTACCAAAACTAGTTTTATCTATGAAGAGAATATGAGATTAGAGAACTTCGAGAAATGAAAGAAAGTAAGTTGTCAAAAGAGGAATAAAAACGTTTCTCAGAGCAATAGAACTGAGTTCAAAGAGTTCAGTTTATTTTTTAAAATCTGTCGATTTAGTTTTAGGAATCTTTCAAGAAATAAATTCAATGGCAGGCGACAGGTGTCTTATATTCTCCTCGAAGGAGAGACAGCTTGGTTTAACCACCAATGTACTGGAACTTTTTGGCCAGAAAGCAATAGGCACTTAAAATTTTTCAGTTTAAAGTCTACTCTACTCTGAAGGATAAGAAGATACTTTATCAAAAAATAACAAAATTTAAGCTTCATTTAATCCCAAAGATTTTGTGCTGTTTCCTTTGCAACAAACTGGTTATGATGAAAACCTGGTTTCTGATGGGTTAATAAATATTTCAAATCTCTAAACTGTTCAATTTTTGCTTTTAAATAAAACTTTTATTCTGATACCACATAATAGAACAGAATTCTTAAGACTAAATACTTGAGTAACTAAAAGTGAAAATTCAGTCATTACATAAGAATTTGTGATTGAGATGCTGGGACCGAGGTTCAGAGGCTCAAGTTTTCATCAGTAGAAGAGGAATCGTGGGGAACTAGACCGGCTTCCTTCAGACGAGCGCCCACTGAGTGACTCGGTCGAGGAGCGTCCACAACTGTGTGTTGCATCGTTACGCACGTTGCCAATTGATTTGCCATCATTGCATCCATTGGCTCTGCGTTCATGATGTCTGTTGGTCCCATGATCCATTGAGTGAGGGTGCAGCCAAGGGAGCAGCTGCACCCTGGGGTTTGCGGAGAAGTGCTTCGTCGTAAACATTGTAGTCCTGGCGGCAAACTACAGTAACGTAAAAGTTAAAGTCTTGGTTCTTACACATTCGGTTACACATCAAACAAAGCTGCAAGAAAAATAGGAGCTTTCGGAAAGCGCACACCACAAAATGAACTGATTGAATGGAAGTCTCGTCAGAAACTGAGAAGAAACTGGAGGATTAATGTGAATCTAAGAGTAAATAATCTTATCTTGGCTTGCTTGTTTACTTTGTGAGTATGAGGTCAAACTGTGCAATCAAACTACTTGATATAACACTCACAAAATGACTATCCTAGCAGACTTTGCTCTTGCCTCTTGTTGACAGATTTAGAGGCTGTCATTTGATATTCAATATATCTGATGGTTCCACCCAGAACAAATGGTCTGTTTTGATATTGTTTACTTTTCCTTGCTTTCCAAGAACAGCACAGTTTAATGTTGATACGCACCATGACAAAGTCACCAATCCTGCCCAATCGACAGTGTTGCATGTTGCATACCTCTCATGATGAGCAACGCATGTAATACAAAAAATTCTGAATCATTCATATATTTTCCGTGCATTTCCTGTTTTTTCTGCCGTTACTATTTCTTAATATCCGAATTTTTACTGAACATCAATGACACTCTTGTTGTGACAATGACATTGTTGTTTCAAGATTGTTAATGCTTGATTGATTGAGCATGTTGCTTACTGATTTTTTGGGGTCGCAAAACAAAAATTTGAAATTATTTCTTCGAAATTTTCAAACCCATGAAGACAATCAAGACTTAGAAAAATTCAAAATCTATAGTACTGATTCGATTTGATTAAAGCTTGATGCTCTCAGACCACAAAATCTAGGTATGGTTCTATCGTAGATGGAAGATGGTGGTATAAATAACCATTTTTCCTTGCACAACTCTAATAATAATAAATATCTCATCACTTAATATGGCAACGTGTGACTGCGTTAACCATCAATGTTCCACTGTTGAAATGCAACCTATACTGAGAGCAGTTCTCTGTATTTTGATGTACCTCACCCTCTGACAATACTAGTATCTGTATCGAAAATAACTGTTTCATGTTACAGCAAAGAAACACGGGTACGGTGCGAGGGATGAAAGCGGACAGCGACTAAGCAGCCTGAAGCGGTCGATCGTACAGGAGGAATTCTACGAAATGCTCCTCTCTAATTCGGTGGTGATGCATCTCAGCCGTTCTATTGTTCTTTACCTTTAAATGGTGTCATAAACTAATTGAAAACTATTGATATGTATTTAATGTTGTAGAAAAGTGTAAAAAATAGTAATTTATCGAACTTACCTCCTGGAATTTCCACAAACATTTTATCAAATGAGAATTTTGCTTTCCTGCTTCAAAATTCGTTGATAGGAAGTTTTTTCTTATTCTCTGTAGGATCAATTGCACTTGTTTGAACATAAGATCCAGGTTTATTGAATATTCAAACGCATGTTACCCTTCTGCACGGTGAATCAAAACAATGTCTTAATTTTTGTGGCAGCAGTATCTGGTCTCCGCCAAATTTTAGAATTATTTTTGTGTCTGAATGAATCAAATACAACAAGAAAAGGGATCTTTTTACTAAAAAACTTAAAAGTAAGTTTTTGGTACCCTTGAGTGGAGGAGTTCAATTACTTAATTATTCGAATTCTCCCCTCTAGTTGGCGCAAAATTAAACGGAGCAACTTGTAAGTTCTTTTTGAGACTATAAGTAAGTGTTTTTGGTGGGAAACTCATATTCTGATTTTTTTACTGAAATTGAAATTGAAAACGTTCTTTTGAAAAATTTACTCTTGTGCTGTAAGGTCTCTTTTCCTTGAAAGGTTACAAGTAAATGAAAAAGTGCTCAGAATTCTCAGCAGGCTTTGTTATCTAAGCCCCACAGTATCCTCCATTGTGGGTGTCATTGAGCAAACAGGATTGATCTACAGGGGCTTTTTTAAAGCATGTATAAGTTTCATGAAACTCATGTATAGTTATAAAAGCTCTCCGTAAAACCATGGGACCTCTAGACAAGGTATGAATTTAAGCTTTTTGCAGCTTGAACTATCTTCAAAATTTCCTTAGGAAAACGACACGACATCAAGTCTGGAAGTAAACTCTTGAATGAGACGCAAGTGTTTACAATTAACATTGGTCATGTGGCAAGAATACAAATTACATCCTTTCTATGATCTAATTTCCATTTCATCTGTGTTAAAAATATTTGTTTATGTCTCACTCACAAGTTGATTTCTTGATGATTTCTTCTGAGCTCTCCTGTCGTTTCAGTCGTTTTCTATGTAAGATTTTGAAGGGGAAACATGTGATGGTTTTCTCTAATTCAAATGTTGTCTGGTCGCTCTTTGCACATAGATCCCTTTTGCTGAATAGCATTCAATTTTCCATTAGCTCCAAGACTTGCTCTGCCGCTTCTTTTTCCTTAAGAAGTTGCTGGGATCCTATGTTCATACAGTAATTAGTTCTGTAGTGTAAATTTTTTTTGTCAGTCCGCTGTTACATTCACTTTAGAATTAGTTACATACAGATATGTGTTTGCAATTATCTACATGTATGAAGAAGTTGTTTATTTATTGAGAAAACAGAGTCTCCCTGTTTTCGAAACCTGTTAACTATTTTGTTCTGTTACTTGTCTTAATTGTAGTGTTCTATTTTGGCTCATCGAAGCTTACGTTACCAGTCTTGAGAGTCATGCTCAGTAAGCAATCCAGCCAATTTAGGCAGCGAATTTTTTTATTTTGTTATCGGGGATATAGGGACTTTCTCTTGGCAAATAGAAGCTTTTAAATAAATGGAAAGACTGGACGTACTTTTACATGTTTTTTGTTTTGCTCTCTTTACTTTGATGCCCCCGCAACCCAGCGTTGTCTTCGTAGGATAAAAAAAGGGCATATGATGAAGTGTGGCTGACATTTTACCGTATTATGACTTTGGACTCTCACTATCTCTCCAACAAATTAATTAAAAATTAGGATGATTCTTTATTCATTAAAACCAGGTTGGCAAAAAGCAACTTGATAGTTTTCGTAAGAGTTCCTTATTCTCGTCAATTTTGAAGTTTACATCTTGTAAAATTTCATTCTCATATCCGTTTAGTTTTCTGTTTTTAATTTTTTAGCAAGTCGTTGGAGTTCCATTTTGAGCTCAAGACAAGTTTTAAACCTTTTTTCCCTACATTTGATGTAACAGAAAGCTGATCAGTAGCTGAAGAGGACAGTCAATCAATGTCTCATCTGAAAATTTGCATTTAAACATTTTTGCAGATGCTTCAAAGCTCTCCAATTTAAAGATGAATAACAAAAAAATCAAAGAATCAGCAATTGAAAAATGTGTGTCACAATGTGACATGGTAATGACAAGTAAATATCTGTAAAATATTTTTGCATTCATATTTAAATTTCAGCGGGTGCAAACTTTCTCAGGCATTCTTATTTTACCTTTTCTTCGCTTTTTTTAATTATTATTTATTTTGAATAGATTGCATTTAGTGGTTTTGACTTTCAGTTGCCTGATTACAGTCAAAATTTTACCGTATGGACTCGCAAGCTCATTTGAGAATTCTGTCATGAATGCTCTTACATACTAAGCTGAATAGAAACTCGAGTTTTACTTCGCACGGTATGATCAGCACCTCTCAATGTTTCCATTAAAATCGGTCTCCATTTATATTTTCTAAATTTAAGAAAGTAGACAAAATTCCAACCTCAAAATCTAATTAGATCCATTACCTCCTATCTTGAAAATCTGTCAATCTTTTAATAATAAATAGGAAAGAAAATAGAAATCTGTTGTCATTAGTACTTTCGATGATTTTAGGGAAGTACAACGCACACTTTAGCCCCAGTGCTTGCATAAAATAATATCCAAAGATTGAGCGATAATGGCTTTTTTTTTCATTTTTCCCTCTCACTGCTATTCCTTCCTGCAATTTATATTATTTTTTCATTCCATGAAAAAGCACTGATAAGAGGATGTATCCAATGGCAAATAATTATTTTGCATTCTTTTTATGCACTGAGAGAAGCGCATAAGGGTTTTGCAATTGAAGTTTTACTAAAAAATTGTATTTCCCCCCTTGGGAGCTTGTTATACTATTCACTGATATAACAAGTTTTTCCTCATTTAATAGCAGTAATAATTTTGTCCAAAATACTCCCTTATAAATTTCATAAAATATCATCACATCAAGTTGGGTTTTTTTTTTTATCAAATCAAATTATGTTTGTTTCATCTGAAAGCCTAAATTCCATTGAACACAATACTTTTGCAGCTATAGACTCTGGCAAGGTGTCACGGTCATTTTCTGTATGATTTTCATTGATCATTGTTGAGCGTTTATTTCTTCATCATTCATCAATGGGAGGAAATCAGTTAAATTTTAATCACTTTTAAAAATTTATAATTTATAAATCTCCAATTGAAGTTTATCACTAAACGTCCAAGGATTTTATATTCACACTGGTCCAGTCAGGTTGAAAGCCTAAAGTTACTATCAGAGGTATCCTGTTCAAAACATTTCAGTAAGAATAACACAAAAAGGATGTAACTACGTTAAGTCAAGGATGATAGCAATCAATTGTATATCCATGCCCCCACATCTTGCTGAACCTATTTAAAAAATGTAACGAGCCCTTGCCCGACTTTGGCAATAGCAAGCATCTGCATTTTCATTCTATGATGTAAGGTCGAAGATGGAAAGACCCACTGATTATGACATCAGAAAATCACTAACTTGCTCCTCTGATTAAAGAATGTCTTTCAGGTCTATAGATTAAGTTGGTTTGTGTCATAGCATTTATTTTTTTTCAATGGGTTTATTGCGATAAGGTGCAATTTGAGTCAGTATTCTTTTTCCTATATTAATTTGGTTCATCTGTACTGCACTGATTGTGAAATATTCTTCTCATCCCTTAGGGCTTTTTTTTTCATCCGTGGAACTCAATGGATCGGGATCTTTGCGGTTCGGGCTGGTTCAACCGGCCTAACCGCGGCCTCAACCCACCTTGGAAGAGCGGTCCAAGTGTTCCACTGGAACGCGCCACTCGATAAAAAAGTGATGCGTTTCCTAGCGGTTTGGATAAAAACAAAAGCCCTCTTATGTCTTTATGTAAAGACATCCTTCGGATGGTTGACTTCAAGCTAATTATTTAAGGTTAAAGTCTTGTTTTCTCAGTTCTGACTTGTTTGGGCAAGAAATTCGACCGTTCTGTACTCTTAGGACATCCATGAGTGGTTCGCATCTTTGGATGTTTAACCCTCTAAGGATACAGTAACCAAGAATATCTTTCCTCACTCTTCAAAGTGTAAACCAAGGTGCGATTAAGATTACAATAAGAGAATCAAGAGAAAGGAAGGCATCTTGCCTTCACGTAATGTCTCTGTCGTCAATTGTTATTTATCTTCTCAATTAACTGAAGTCAATAAATCAGACTTGAACTTGTACTTCACTGGTTGCTGTGTTTTAGTCCTTCTAAGGCCCATGAATTTGGACTATTTTTTCGAAGTGCTGTGACAGTGTTTCGTTGTTTAATCATAGAATTAAAATGAGGTTTAACTTTAAAAAATATGATGTATAACTACCTAATTTAAATAAAACAAACTGTTCTTTGAAATTTATCGAAAAATACATGGTTATTGTCTTGGTTTACTTGTTTGATATTAATTGACTGGAGCAAATAAGACCTTTGTAGGCAATTCTCCTCTGAAAAAATATTGATCACTAATAGAAAATACATCAGCCAAAATTGGACATCATTATGCAGCAAAGAACCTATCTATTTTATAGATGGAGATCTTCTAAATGAGCTTGTGCCGTGGCCGGGCTAGGAAAATTATATTTGATAAACCCCTCTGCTAATTGAAGACAAGTGTTTAAGTCAATATGCTGGCCTTCGGCTAACGAGAGAATTTTTATTTTTTCTACATAATGGACCACTAGACAAGGTACGAATTTAAGCGATCTGATACGTGTTTCTTAACCAGAATTTCACGTAGAAAACGATTCACACAACGAAAATTACTGAAACCAACTCCTAACGAAGATATTAACGTTTTTATTTCACATTGGTTACGAGGAATTTGAACTGCCCGCTCACAAGAAACTCAAAGCTCTACGTGAGTCGAATCGCCCACTACAACGGTTTCAGCAAGCTTCTCAATCGAGCAATGTTCATTTCCCACCATGTGCTGTTCAAACTATTGGCAATTTGCTACAGCTGAGCCGAAGCGTCAAGTTTGAGGTTGCCAGATTTTTATATCTCAGAGACTGTCATGAGAACGTTTAGCGCGCGATGTGAATCACGTAGAGCATTGAGTTTTCATGAGCGGGTGGTTTGAATTCACGCATCAAGAATTATTGAATATCTTCGTAAGGAGTTAATTTCGGTAATTTTCGTTGTGTGCATCGTGTTTTACGTAAAATTTTGGTTAAGAAACATGAATCAGAATGCTGAAATTCGTACCTTATCTAGTGGTCCATTTTGCAGTCGAATTCAGTTGACTACCCAACTCTATAAGCAGGAATTGCATGTAACAAAACAGATCTGTTAAAAACCTCCAACTGACTTTGGTATTTAACTGTGTCTTGAATGGTTTTTGTCACTTCTTATCCTCTCTGCTGTGGAGCAACATCCCTACGATCTTCTCTTAATTTTGCGTAGGCGTCTTTTACTATTATAAGATAACACCTGAGCTATTGGGCGTAGCTCTTTAAAATAGACAGATCAGTTCTGCTGAATGATGTCCAACTTTTGTAAGAGAAAACATTTCTCAAGGTACAATAATTTGAAGTGGTAGGTCGAAGACAACAGGGAGTTAAAAAAAAAAAAAAAAAACCAAGTCGGTATGTATCATTCAGACTCTATTTTATTAAAAAACATCAAAACTATAATTTTTTAAGACAGTGAATACTAAAATAAAAATAAATGTAAAGGAATTATAATTTTAAAGTATTTACACTCTAATTTAACAAATTAAAAAAAAGAGAAAAATCTTATTGTACATCAAGATTCAGACGATGGCCTCAATTTTTTATTTCAGACCTTGGAGCAAACCTTAAAATAACAGCGCTAGAAATGAGCAGAAGAGATTAATTAACATTGTTTGTATGCATGAGTCTGGTTAGAGTGAAAGCCAATCGGACCACAGGGAAAGCATTAATTTATGAGAAGAAATTGTAAAAATTACAACACTTATGTGCCACACTTTCACGAAAGGGAAGTGTGAAATACTTTCCCAGTATAGCAGAAACTTGCCCTGTTTGACCCAATGCATACCCCATTCTGTGATTAGTTTTTTAAACTTTACAAGAACATTTGAAAATTCTTTACTCCGATTTTTGTTATTTTTAAAGCTACTGGTAAAAATGACCTACAAACTGCAAAAGCGCTGAGTTTCTTGATTTAGGCCTATCTCCATTGAACGTTTTTGCAAAGTGATCGTAGTAACTAGTCGCTCAAACAAAGTTCATTTCAGCATTTAGAAGAGAGAGTGAGGCAAAATTGATACACAGACAAAATTAAAGATGCTAGCATGTTGCTGCTGAATATGTTTGTTGTGACGGTCCATTTAGAGATCAGAATCAACTGCCGATTCGTTTGCCAGACTCATTTTAACATACTAAAGAAAAAAGCATTGGAAACATTCAAGCATTTCCAACTTTTCTTCGATGAAATTTTGTTTCAAAGAGTCATTATGCCTTCATATTTCTAGATGCAATGGATATAATTCTCAAAATTGTCAAACAAAAATTTTACCAGGTTTTCTAGAAGAGCAGTAGATTATCAAAATAAATTTGGCAACTTTATGATGTTTAGGTATACTAACAAGGGGAGCTTCCCAAGTGTAACCGGAATTTCGAGTTGAAATTTCGCATGAAGATACTAGAGATGATTTTAGGGATGCCGTATTTTTTCGTTTTTTCGAATGGGGTCGGGAAAGCCCTCAAAAAAAGGGCTAAAGATGCGGAAAAAACGCGTGCGCTAGCGGCACAAGGTAAATGTAGGTGATAGAGGCTCTGAATCCTTATCAGTACCGCGTGGCCAGACGGTAGCGCGCTCGCCTCGCAGGCGGGAGGTCCTAGGATCGGATCCTGATTACAGCTCGTAATTTTATTTTACTTTATGCTTGTTTCTTTTTCACTTACTTTATTTTGCACCATTCGCTCCGCAAACCGACTTACGAAGTAGAACACGTAGTGACTGAAGATTTTTTACATATGCTGATAAAAACTCGAAGTTTCTCTTGGATTGAAACGTTATATATAATTGAATAAACAAAACACTCTAAAACCCACCAAATTTCGTTGCCAAGCTGAATTTCCGGAGTATCAGTCGAATCTGTATCTGTATCTGACTGATACTCCGGAAATTCAGCTTGGCAACGAAATTTGGTGGGTTTTAGAGTGTTTTGTTTATTCAATTATATATAACGTTTCAATCCAAGAGAAACTTCGAGTTTTTATCAGCATATGTAAAAAATCTTCAGTCACTACGTGTTCTACTTCGTAAGTCGGTTTGCGGAGCGAATGGTGCAAAATAAAGTAAGTGAAAAAGAAACAAGCTTAAAGTAAAATAAAATTACGAGCTGTAATCAGGATCCGATCCTAAGACCTCCCGCCTGCGAGGCGAGCGCGCTACCGTCTGGCCACGCGGTACTGATAAGGTTTCAGAGCCTCTATCACCTACGTTTACCTTGTGCCGCTAGCGCACGCGTTTTTTCCGCATCTTTAGCCCTTTTTTTGAGGGCTTTCCCGACCCCATTCGAAAAAACGAAAAAATACGGCATCCCTAAAATCATCTCTAGTATCTTCATGCGAAATTTCAACTCGAAATTCCGGTTACACTTGGGAAGCTCCCCTTGTAAGTTCATTCTTAGCACGGAAGCGTTACAGCAATCAATTGTTCAAAGACACCAGTGGAAACAGGGCCTTCAATGAAGCTTAAATGATAGTACAAAGAGCTAAATTAACTGTAAAGAAGGCAGTTGATTAAAAATAGGAAATTCATGCATTTTTAAGACATCGGATGTAAAAAAAGGTAGGAGCACTCTTTTTGCAGCCAATGTCTCCATTACTACCTTCGAAACAGAAATACGCTCAACTTCACCGACAGTGCTGAGAGTTTGAGCCCCTAATGTATAATAAAAAACATAGGTACTTTAAACATGAAAGACAGAAAATGAATCAAAGATGGAATTATTTGACAACAGGGAGCAATTTAAAAAAGCTAAAAAAGACGACATTTTATATCCCAATTTGAGTTTTCAACCTGATTCTTAAAATTAACTTAAATTCTGCATGGTAAACAATAATAGTCTGAAGTAACTTTCAGAAGCTCCAAGAGCTTTTGATTGACTGTTGAAAGTTATTGATCAAAAGTAATGAGGTAAGAAGCCACTGTTCTCTATTGATTGGCTGATAATGTAACAAGTGAAAAAGTTTAACACTTTGAGATCACTTAATCTCTGTACACTTTGCCTCAAAAAATTTCCGAGAGCTTCACAATCTACTATGTGAAAAGAAAAACAATGGAGTGAACACAGACTCTGTTAAGAAGAAAACTAAAAATTCAAGGGTAGCAAAATAAAGAGTATCTCTCGCAATGGTAAAAAAGTAATTCAACAAGCTGAAATAATACATTGTAGGAAGGCAAGCATTGTTTCAGTAGAGTTCCAGGAGCTGAATTTTTAATCAAAATTTTAAACCGCTAAAAGAACAGTGCGGAGATAGATTGTAACAAGGTGACAAATTCGAACTCAGCGTTATCAAGACCCGTTTTGTGACAACTTTTCAATTGGACTGAGTTCCACAGAAACACATTAGACCTATTTTGAGGGGAAAATGAGTTGGGAGTAGATTTGGATTGAACTAGTAGTTCACTTTTTCCTAGAACAAATCTAAAGTCGAGGAAAAATGTTTTTGAACAGGAGAATAGTCGTTTTACATTGTCCCTAAAATTGAGTCTTACGGAGGAATAAAACTTCAAACTTCTTATTCTCGGTTCTCACTTGATGCAACTGAGAGCATTTCTATTAAATTCCGTCTCATTCTCCAGAAAAATTACAAACTTGTACATAAAACAACAATAATTTGGCTCTCTCTAGACGTTGATATGAACCATTAAAAATCTCATTTCTGCTGAAACTAGACAGAGAAAAACAGAACTTCAAGAGTTAAGAAAAAAACTTGATGTGCGATTTTTCAAAACGCTTATCTATCCACACATGTTGCATTAATGAGTTAAAAAAGAGATGTCAAATAATTTTCTGCAAATACCTACGGACACGAAAGTGATACAGCAAAAAAATATCTTGTCCTAGAATTGAAAATTGAAATGTCATCGACTTTTACCTTCATGAGAGGAATATACATACATGAGAGATGGACTCGCATTTTAAAGACAGGCACAGATATAAACTTAACGGCTTTGAGCCTCTCTTCAGTTTCTTTCCTCAAAAAAATAATATAATTTTATCCACCAGGCTTACTTTAACTTTACTTGGTATATCTGTTGAATAACTCAAACAAATGCGATTGTTAAGGACCTCTCCCCTTAAGTAAGTCAACACTCTATAAAACTCACGTAACTTAAGTAGGTCCAATACTTTTTTGAGACTCCCAGTGAATATAAGTCAATATTTATTATTTGATGAAAACTAAGTCCAAGAAATTGAAATTTACTTAAACTCGTATAAAATTTGAATTCATTCTTATTACATAAAATACAGGGCGTTACATCAGGTATTCCTATGGTATGCTCAATAAATTAGACAGTTCATTGAAAAAGGGGCATAAGAAATTCAGAAGTCAAGATTTTCAACAATGGATTTGATGACCTAATATTTTCTGAGGATTTGAGATTAAAACACGGTGGGTTCTAGCAATCTTATCATGGTCATTTTACTACTGCCCAAGAATTTTACTGCTGGCCGTTTCTTCTTTTCTCCAAATCTGATCACGAACATAATTTTCCCTTTTTCAAAGGACTGTCATGTTTTAGATATGGAAATTAATGACTCACTCAGCAGAAAAATACTCCAGCTTATAATAATCACAACGGAATATTTTACGGCTAAATTGAAAGGCAACTTAAATCCACAATATTTGACTTGCGTCAGGAACTACCAAATACCTAAATTTTGGAACAGAGTTCAAAATAAAATCGAAGCCATTGAAGTTAAAGATGACTGCACTTTCATTAAATACAATTTAAAATCCGTATCTTCAATTCAAATTTGAAAAAAAAGAACTGAAAGGACAACAAAGTGGCTTTACTAAACAAATGAAAACAATATCACATTCCCCAAAACTATATGGTAGGTTTGAAGATTGAACAAGACAGAACCATGGGAAAAAATGGAGGTTGTCTAAATTACATTGGCATGTTTCTTCAAATCTCCATATTGTGATGGTAAATTAAACAGCTTCCACCTTAATTGTACAACGAAAGAACGGAGGGCTGATTATTAAACTTCAATCGATATCTTATCCAACAACCATCGTCATTAAATACTGTGAAAATTGAGTTTTAATAATTCAGGTTGATTGATAAAGGAGTGCTGAACTTTAAATAATCGACCCCCAGGGGTGGGCTGTGCATGAATTCATTGTTACCAACATGCAAGATTTAAAGTTTCCAATTGACTTCACACAGTGTTTTACTGATGCAAAAAAGCAACCTTAGAAGTTGCAAATCAGTAGTCACCATTTACTTCGAAGCAATATGTACCCGCATATCCAACAGATCGCTTTTTGAATCTTTATGTCTTCCACTCCTGACCAATCTGCACTGTTACGCAAAGTTAACATGTAACTTTCAGTTGGCGCAAGAATTACGCTCAGTGAGGGATGAATGGGTTCAATTCCCAATTAAGAGGAGTATTTTTATGGACATGGCCTGATAGATAGAGGACTTCAAAGACAATCAATATATCAAGATTTTAAAAACCTAAAATGTATCTTTACTCATTATCATGAGGTGAGGTTGGATGGAAAAAAAAATAAACAAATAAAAAGAAAAAACCTCTGGATTTGATTGAGACGGGTTAAAACCCTCAAATTATAAATACAGATAAAAATATACAATGTACACACAACAAAGTAGGAGGAGGAATCGTATATTATACAGAGCTTACATTAGTTATCAGGTTAAAGTAACTTTGATACCTTATCTTTGAAGTTCGTTACCAGTCGATGAAGCCATCAGCTTGAAAGGCTGCATGGCTGTCACGCAGCTTTCAGCATAATTTTTGCCTCAAAACATCTAAAATAAAATAAATGAAAGAGAAACAGAAATTAGCATTGACTAGATAATTAAAAATTAGAGGAGATTAAATCAGCCAACTCTATTTACTTATCAGTTCCTCATTTTTTCTTGCTGCATAATGTTGAATGATTACCCCCCGGTACAGACGCTTTAACTTTCTTAGTGGTCCATTAGACTGCCCCAATGAAAACTTTTCTTAAGACCTCATATATTCTTAAAAAGCTGTGTTTACGTAACAAAGAGAAGAAATGAGGGGAAAAAAAAAGAAAAAAAAAACTTCACAGGAATTTAAGAAAAGAAATAAGCACTCATAAAAAAACATGCATTGAAATCGTGAATGAGCATAAAAAGAATCATTTAGAAACAGTATAGGTGATAAAAATATATAAAACTTGTAAAAAAGCCTTGCGACTCTTATAAACTGCAAGACGTCGTCGCCGGATCCGAACTTGGGACCGCAGCGCTCGCCTACAAAACTGATGAAGGATCAGGCTGGTCAAGTCGGTAGATATACATCTTGACCCGCGCTCTTGGGGAAAGCGCTTTGTCCAGCTTGCCGGCGCTCAGTTTCGACTTGCTGGCACACCGCGCAGAAACGTGCAAAAATCGTAACTTTAAAAATCGATATCTCGAGAACGGTTGGGAAGTGGCGGCTAAAAAAAAATATGCCAACCTTAGATTTGTCTCTTCTACATGTACAAGCAAAATGAACCCAATCCCAGGATGTCACATTGTAGACTCCCCGTGTGAGTAAACAGATTGAATTGAAAATGTAACCGTCCATTTGTTAACAAAATAAAATTATACGTTTAACATGACATAAATAAAAAACTTACTGAGATTAATCTGCATAGACTATGAATTGCTGATGGTCCATATCTGGCATTTGAACTTCTACAAACTGGGTTTCTTCTTTCAGTTGAACACTTCGTCCAGCATTATGCTGCCTTGGTCTGCGTACAAAAAGAAAAATCATTACTTGGTACATGAAAAACAATCATGATTGGACTGCATTATGCGATTACGAACTGCAATTTCTCAGCATTGGTTAGGTCATTTATTTGCATGAGAGACAAGCGCACAGTAAATCATTCTTCAATATTTAATGTATCAACATTCCATGGTTATAATTAGAAAACAAATTCAACTTTAAATCTACATGTGATGCCAAGTAGGTGTTCCGGATGTTACATAGCTCAGGAAGAATTAGCCATTTAATGCAGGATTTCCGTACTTTTCCAATTCTCTGGCTTTCCTTGATTCCAAAATCCACAAATCTCTAGACTTTTCACAACATGTAAACACAAGTTCCACTTAGATTTTCCTTCATCATAATTAGGCTAATTTCTGTTAAACTGTGGATGAAATTTTCACTTTTAGAGATTCAAATTACGTAGAATGGCAATCAGCAGCCTGATTGTTGAAACTTTAACTGGCTGTGTCGGAAAGATAAGACAAGACATAGCCCTATCTGCGCCACGTAATAAATTGATTTTCGATTCTTGTTGTGCCGACATAAATTTCAACAATCAGGCTGCAGGAATTGTTTGCACAAGGTACCAGCTGAGATTGCTGAGCTGGTACTTGTTTGCAAGGTCCCCAGCAAATTCCTTGCGATTTCTCCAGATCGTAGAATATTTCCTAACTTTCACTGATTTTCCAGATGAATGGAAACCCTGATAGCAGGTTATACATCAGTTTGGGACTGATCAAAGAAGAGAAATATTGACTGCAAGAAACATTTGAATGCATGGAACAACCCTCAGGTAGATACTATGGAGTTATCTATTGGGTCGGATGGAAACCATCAAACAGTAATCACACATACAATGATGTGGCTCGATATTTTCAAACTTCCAAACAAAACAAAAATATGAACACTTACTCAAACAGTTTCATTTGCTTTTTTAAGTGCGACAATGATCAAATGAGCAAATTAGATTTTGATTATTCATTTTTTAAACGATGTAGCCACTAGATGAGTCTACACATAGCATGTCTGGACGAAAATATGATTGACTACTTACTTGGCTTTCGCATGTGTTAGAATGTGAGATTTCAGGTTCGTTGACTGGGCGAATTTCTTGTTGCAACCGTCGAACGGACAGACATAGGGCCGATCCCCAGTGTGAATCCTAACATGCGTCCTTAAATTAAAATCTAAAGAAAATCTCTTCCCACAACCTTCAAATGTGCACTGTGAACAGAGAGACACATTAATAATTAAAATGAATGAACAAAGCTAAGGATAACATATGATGAAATGTGGGATATGGCAAAAAACTGAACATTACAATACACATATGTTTCCTAAAGAAAGTTCAAAATTTAATAGTATGAAATTAACATCTCAGGCTAGCAAGAATTAAGACTACCTGCTGTCCCGAAAAACTAATTAAAGTAGACTTGGCGCTGTACCTACTAGTTTCAGCATGCTTGGAAATACAATCACATTTACACCGTTCTGAATTTTTTTTAGACAGGGTAATGAGTACAATGCACCTGGAAAGAACATAATTTCTTTAAAACCTTGCCACGGTCATTTTCACAGCGTTTTTTCTTATTTTTTTTTTTTTTTTCAATGACCAATTTGACATACATATATTGATTCTGGTTTATTTCACACGCAGGAAGTTAAAAAAGACTGAACTTGAAATACAGAATGAGCATTAATACCTTATTTGTAAGTCAACTTTAGAAATTTTCAATATTTTTGAATCATTTAGCAAAGAATTTTTACGAAGAAACATGTTTTGCAACACTTCAATTCTCACGCTAGAAAGTGGCTTTCTGTCAACACTTGTTAGTTCCAGTTATGAGATAAAATCAGGATTACAGCAAGATGATTTAAAAAAAAAAAAAAAGTTACGTATCACTTGAAAAGATTTTTTTTCTTTTAAAAAATTCAAGTTTCATCTCAGCTTTTATCAAAACACTAGGTGTCTCAACCAAACCTTTAAATTGGAATTAAAAATAGAGGAATTTAAATTATTTGCATAGTGACTGGTTCTCTTCTTTTGAGTTGATGACAAGTTACATCAACAAGGACATTGACCTTTCAAACAGCCTTTACATTATACGTACTTCATGTTCATCAGGCTCCAAAAAAAAATTATCAATATGCGTCAACCAATATTTGATAGATAACCATTTCCCAGTAAGAGGTATTTTTTTCTTCTTCCAGCAGCTTTGAAAAACCAAGTGATGAGCTCTGCAATAGTTGCTTGGTCATAAGACTATTGGGTTCACATAAGGGGAGCTTAGCTTTTCTAATTTCTGCTTCAATAAATATCCTGACGGGGATTTAAAGATTGCTTTACATTGAAACATAAATTTCTGTTTTCCGAACATACCTGGAATGGTTTCTCTCCAGTATGGACTAACTGATGGCGTTTCAGCTTGGAACTCTCGACAAAGGCCTTCCCGCACTCTGCACAGACGTGAACTCGGGGCCCGTGGGTATGAAGATGCTTTCGCATTGCTGAGTTGTCGCGGAACATTTTCGTACATCCTTTGTGCGGGCATGCTATCGTTCGATCGATTCCAGCCAAGGAGGAGTCTTTCTTTGCTTTCACTTTGTTGCCTGGCCTGTAACAATAATCACTTTGGTCACTTCGTAGATTAGATGAATGAAATGATAATCAAAATGATAAAGAAATGCAGAAAATAAAACATATTTGAAAAAATAATAATCAGAAAAAAGTAACTTCAAAGCTGGTATTTTTACAGTACGAGGAATCATGTGGTATAAGTAAACATGATTACTTACAAGGGAGGAAAAAATCAAATTTTTAAAAAAATTAGAATCAGGTGAAAAACTAGAAGATTGATAGAACATGATCAGAATCCCTAAATGAGTCTTCTCAATGAGTACATAACAGGGCGAAAAAACAGGGTTTGAAAAACAGAGGAAAAAGGGAAAAAAAATCTTGAAAGCTGCTCCAAGGGCACTTTGAAGACTATTAAGCAAGTTAATAGTCCTAGTGTCATATCATATGATCTGTTGCTGAGACAGATGATACTGTTCCTCTTCTCTTTTTGATGTGGGTAATCTTATAAAATTAAAAAATTTTCAGATTTTTTGGAAACCCATAGTATTACGCTCAAAATTGATTGGTAGAGCAAGCATTATTCTAAAATATTGGCTGTAATGATTTTTCATATTTGATTTCTGGGAGACGCAGCTTTGAGAATTGGCTAAGGGTAAGAAAGTATGCGCTCTAGTAACTCTTTCTTTAAACTATTAATTCATAAGATTTGGACACCAACCTGGTAAATTCTGCCAATTGTTTTGGGTCACTGAGATCTAATCCTGGAATTCCTTCACTTGGGATTTTTCTTTCTATCATGTAATCTTCATATTCCTGTTCAGGTTCAGGATTACTGCATTCATCTGCAAACGTTCATTCACTTATTTAATTGACAATATATATTTTAAAACAAGGGCAACCGACAAAAATTTCACGACAAAAAGAGAAACATGGAAGAAAAAAAAAAGAGACCATCTTAAGTAATGAAACTAAACGTTTTAAAATTAAGGATGATGGTATCTAATGCCCTTTGGTGCTTGGAAAAGTGTGAGGAAAAAATCCTCCTCATAAATAATGTCTAAGTACGGCTGAACGATATTGTTTGGCTAGAATTGACTAATCGACACACCAGTACCTAGGGGACTAAAAAATCATCCACTGGGTTTACGACAAACAGCCGAGAGTATGGGTGTCCACAAGGGATAAAGTGTCCATTGAGCGCTTTGTCGAGAAACAAAAACTATTAGCGTCTCCACAAGGAATTGCGAGAAAACTTTTGATAACCTTGATGCTTCGTGCTCATGTAAGAGCCAAAACGTTTACGCCAGGACAACACCCAACTAGGAGGTAGATGGTAAATATATGAATTAAAACTCCCGATAATACACTGAGCTTTCTATGAAAAATAACAGAGCATGTTGATAGATATGCAGAGTTACGAAAGGAGCAGTTCCATCTTCATCACAGCTCGCGGCTAGTGTCATTATTTACCACTACAACATGTTGTTATCATGAGATTTAATAATACATATCTGCCAGTCATGATATTCCTAGATAGATATTTATGTTCTCCCTAAAGGTTCATGACATGCTGCAGTAATTCTATCTTGGGTGAAGTCAATTTTCACGGTGCTCCGAAAAATCGAAGACTCGTAGGCTACGCCACGGCAAACATCAGAGAGTGAAAATAGGCTCACAGCGTGGTTGATGCAGGGGAACCATAATTGATGCGAGTAATTAAGCAACCCTAAACCTATGGTTTTACTCTCATAGGGGATGAGGGGCTTCTTCTGTTCAGTTTAATCCTTTCAATTCTTCAAGGACACACTACAGTGAATGAAAATGCTTGTATAAGAGGAAGCCTGTTTAGGCATAGAAGGTGAAGGTGGGAATATGATAATGGGGAAGAATATGGGATCCTGGAAACTAACTTCCAGCGTAAAGGAGCAGGAGAATATCAAGGAATAGTAATGTAAAGCATCGCCGTGTTTACATGCATTAGTAACAAACGTGGCCATCTTTTTTCGGAGCCTTCAATAACAACAAATATGGCGAGCATCTGCCATTTATAAAACGGCCATATTTACAAATTTAAATTGATATGGCAGCCCCCATGCGAACTCATGGTCTGAAAATTTCCGAAACGCTGCGAAAAAATTCGAGAAAAGAAGCGAGATTTCAAGTGATCGGGAGGTGTTAGCGGTGAATTGTAGTGTTAGTGGCGAGGTCTTGGCTAGATGACAGACACCAAGTGGCAACTGTGAAGATATGGAAGATGATGAAGTTGTATAATGCAAAAAGAAGCCAAGAGAAAAGGATAAAGGCGAATCAATTTAATAACGTACCGTCATCTGTCCCTGAAGCCCACATTGTAACCGAAAATTCTCCTTCTAACGTCCTGATTTGGACTTGCTTTTGTTCCCATTTCCTGGCTTTCGTGTCGGTTTCGATGAGCTCGGGTGTAATAAAAACCTTTTCACTAAACCTGGGTTCTTTCTTGATTTTCTTCCCTTTCCACGATGGTCCAGGACTTGAAATTGCATACATATCGTTATCTATTGGCACTTGAATTTCTTCATATTCGGTCAAAGGATCATTACAACCGACAATTTCTTCGGGGGTCTGTAAAATTATTTCCTCCGCCACGGGATCCTGCATTTGTTGAATAGCTTCGATCTCGATTTCTTGGATTTCGTGCTGGGATATTTCGACGTGCTGAACGGATTCGATCTCGATTTCCTGCATATCTTGCTGCGGTATTTCATCCTCTCCCATGTAATCAGAAGTCGCCATATTAATAACACAAGAAAAGAAAGATGGCCTCCGAGTCACAACACCAACTGAAATCACTACGCGTAATTTTCGGTCTCCTCAGCACCGACCAATCACAACGCCTGAAAGAAAGAATCGCCGGTGATGTCACACGACGCGGTATCGATTCAAGGTCGAATAGCTCGAATGCGACCACAGATGGTTAAAATTTTAGGGGCGTTAAAATTGGGTGATCCAAAGTGATCTTCGCCGCTAATTAATTCTAGTTTTACGGAGCATTAGCCTAGCTCAATTTTTTTTGTTTACGATTCCTTCATGAATTAGTAAAACCCAAACATCGATTGCGTTGTGTTGCGACACAAATAGCGATCAATCGAATCGAAAACTATCATCTCTCGTGTCCGGTGGTTGGACCGGCATCATCTTCCTTATCAAAAATCTCAAGTCGCAGGAATGCCAGGAAATATTTTTAATTGCGGTGCATCTCAACTCGGATTACTCAACGCGCTTCGAAAGTTAGTCATTGCAGCAAGATCAAATTTTACGAGGATGAGATTCTTTGTTCCGGCGGGGTATCTGGTGTGGGCGCGTCATCTGTGCCCCCCTCCTCCCCCCCTCGGCAGTCATTCTCCCTCATGCAGCAAAATACTGGTGACGGCCGAGGGGATGGACGGGTGCAGCTGAGGTCATTCCCCAAGGTCAAAGTATGCTCTCATCAAGTTTGAACTTCTGCAGGGTGACCAACGAGGGACGAGGCAGGGGCACTGTCGGAGGGCGGGGGGAGGGGGAGGAACCGGAAATGGATGAGTGCTGTTCCGGCAAACTCCAATGACAGATGATATTCACTACTAAATGTATTCCTTCCTTTTATTATTATTATTATCACTTACACCTCCTGACGTGGTGAGTTTTCTTTTGTCTATGCCTGGAAAAGATAAATTAGGCATAAGGAAAATTTCAATGAAAAAATTAATCCATGGAAAACAAATGCTTGAGCTACAGAACAAAATCTGATTGTGAGTTTTGAGGCATGCAAAAAAAAAAAAATAAAATCCTCAAGATTAGAAACGAGGTAGTAAGAGAAAAGAGAAAATGGGAGGGAGAAATTAAGGATATTTAAAATAACTTAGAACATAATAATTTAAAATAACTAAGTAACCGGAAAAAGCCTGCCGTAACAAACCTCAAGAAGGTGATAACAAGACTGGAGGAGACAGCGAAATTAAAACCCTGCGTCAAGTAAATTAAAAGTGGTATCTATGCTATAAACACAAGAATTAAATTAACGAAATCTGATGTTGTTGGAGAACTCCCGCAGTCGGCTTCTGAGGTTTCATTCAGAACTGTCTCTGACCAGGAAGAGGATAGGTGTCTTTGAAACTTGTATTGGGTATTTTTTTTTTTCATAAAACTTTGACATGAGTTTTTAGTCTATTACCAATACCTACTTAATTCAACTTTAACTCATATTTGGATGTATTTATGCTAGAAGGAACTATATTGCACAAAAACCCTGTGCACGTAGTTCCTTTTAGCATAAATACGTCCATTTAACATTCTGCTCCTTTTTCTTCTAAGAGTAAATTTATTTTAGGGGAGTGTGTAGACATTTTTTAAAATGCTTGTATGAAACATAGGAAGACTCTTTAAATTCTCAAACATTTTACAAAGCATTTGAGAATAATACATTTTAAGTACCAACTTCAAATTACCAGATGTTAAACCCACAACTTGAGACAGGCATGCACATTTTCAAGAGGGTAAAATTCTCTCTGAAAAAACCTTTACCTGAGTGTATGTTTTTGGACAATACCTAATTATTTCCTTATCTCCAGTTGATTAAATTAATTGAGTATCTATCAACCTTTTTTTTATTTTTTGAAGATTGAGATAATAATATTCTACTACATATTTGCTAATCAGTATAGGTTCAGTTGAGAAATAATAAATCGGAACTAAAATTAAAATGAAAAAAATTTTAATTGAGAAAGATAACAATTTTGAAGTTGACAAATTCGATGTCTTCATAGGTACTTTAAAACAGCAATAATAACCAGATGCAATTCAGGATGATTTAAAAAATTTAAATAACCTTTAATCATCCTTAAGTATGTTAAATTCTTTTTTCTTTTGCTAAATTAGTCATTTAGCCAATTAAAATACCAAACTAAAACCTGGAAGGTAATAATTCACCTCCAGTAACAGGATTGCATAAAAGTCCTACTTTTATTGCACAACAGAATCATTCAAAAAACCAACAAAAAAAAAGTACAAAAAGTGAGGCCTTACACCTAAACAAATACCTAGCTACAATCATCATGTTTATTTTTTGGAAAAAGGAAAAAAAATCATTTACGACAATGTGCAACCCATCAACTTTGGAATATTCAAAATTAACGAAGTTGCCAGTTTTTAGTTTTTAAAATTTCATTCTAAAGTACGAATAGTTCGCTATGAGCCATACGTGAGGCATTGCAAAATGAATGGAATGTTTGATGAACATTGGCAGTTCATATTTTTATTTCTTGCATTTCAGGTTCCTGTATTATTTCTGTGATTTGAGTGACAAGAGAAGGTATAGCTACATTTAATGCGCTACATTTGTCTTGATGAGAATTTAAAGGAATAAACTAACTGGGATTAAAAAACTTGTAAGGATGTGAACTTAAGATGTAGAACCAATTAAAAACTTAGAATACTTAGAAGCATGATTGGCTCTTTTCAAACTTTAAAACAGTATGAAGAAACAAGATAATAACAAAGTTCAATTTGAAATTATCACAATAAAGTTCAAGAAAATCAATTGAATTCTAGCAAATGTCAATAGAAAAATAGGCAAAAAATATGAGCAAAAAATATGAATACAAAATAATAATAATTACAACAGCTATTAATCAAAAGAGGAAATGAACTGCTTATAAGCAACAGGAGGGAGGTGGGGGGGGGGGGGGGGGTAGAAAAATCTTATTCAAACTAGTGCCAAATCATTGTGTATTACCTGAAAACAGTGTTATATCCAAGTGAAACACTGGGGGAAAAAAAAAATTGGAGAGGGGTGGGGCATTAATCTATCAAGTAAAAGTAACCATCAGCATCACAGAAAGCATAAAATAAAATTAAAATGTTTAGGAAAGTAGAAATTACGCCTGACATAAGAGACAAGGAACAAACTGACTTGAGAGAGGTAACTCCCTTAGATGTAAAATTACTCTTCAAAATCTAGCCTCCTCATTCTGACTGATACACACTGAGCCTCCTATTCAATCAATTTAAAACTTCAAAACATTGAAGTATTCAGTTAGAAAAGTACAGTAATGCCCCGATTGTATGCCGCTCTAGTTAACCAACGAAGTCCATTACAGACAGAGCCTGTAAAGGCATTTTTTCAGTGTTTCATTGGTAGTTTTGATTATCTGACTCTTCTAATATCCGACGCAACCCTTGCCAAAAATTATTGGCTAAGCGGGACATTACTGTATCTGAAAAATTTACACTCAGGTGTAACTATCTCCATACAATAATGTATGCTTTCGAACTAAGCAGTTACTTCCGAGGAGGAAAATTTTGAAACTGACTGTACTGACTAATGAAAAGAAGGAAAAAATTAATGAGTGAATACATTTATGAATAAATAAGGCGTTAATATAATGCAACATTTTGAACTTGATTCTTGGAAAAAATTGGCAGAAGGAATGAGGCTAGAATCATAAAATGGAGTTTGTAAAAAGTTGGCCTTTGCTAGCAGTGCTTGACAGGAAAAAGAGATGTGATAAGAAATGTTTGGCTTCAAATAATGAATGCTCCCACTCAAAGGATGAAAAAACCCAGTACGATCATCAGAGCTAGAAATGGATTTAAAAGGCTAAAAAAAAAATAAATGAACGTGTGCCAATGCTGCATTTTCCACTATTTTAGGGATCACAGATAAATAACCTCATCCTTGTAAAATCAGGCTAAGGAAAGGGTAGTATGGATTACAAGAGGACTTCAGCCAGGGGCAGACTGGCACCAAAAAAGTGATCAGGAATACCCATCCATTTCAGTTGTTTCTTTTTTTTGCAGTGCGAGGGGGTAAACCGGTCCAAAATCAATCACATTAGTCATCGACTGGCCGAACAGGATTTTTCCGTGTTCCCGCCTGCCTATCTGCCCCTGACTTAAACAGCTCTCTCATCTACAGTAATTAGATTTCTTACATGTCACTTTGCTAGAATAAGGGCTCCTGATCAAACATAATCAATTTATCTTGTCCCTTTCCCTATCCTACTAAAGAAAAAATAATAACTTATGAACTATTCTTCGGGCAAGGAATTTTTGCAGTGTTGTTATTCGGTTATTTGTGGAAAAAATTTTGTGAGAGAACTAATCAATTCATTAAAAAATTCAAGAAATCAGTTTTAAGGGGAGTAACAGCTAACAAAGATCTGACCAATCAAATGCCAACGGTCAAATTGATGAAGTAAGGCTTGAAGCTAAGTTCAGCCATAAACAAACACTGATTCCCCTACCTGGCTACATCATCAAAATCTTTCAAAAGTATAGTTTCAAACGGGTTTCGTTCTTGACATTTTCCACAAAGGTTTTTTTTGTTTTTTTTTTTGTCGTTTATGGTCAAAGAGAATCTGAAAAAAATTCCTAGAAACTTAGTTCACTCTGTGCTTTCAGAAAATAAACTAGAAATAATGGGTGCTATTGACCCATTACCCATTTAGTAGGAAGAAAACCAAATAACATTGTATATGATGATAGAATTCAAGGCTACATTAAGACTTTATGAAGGGCATAACATAAAGTCTTCAGACGAGATATTATTCAATATGTACACTTAATGTATCAAATTAAAGAAGGCATTTTTAATTTCAATGCTCATGTCTCGTTCATCGAATTATGCTTCATCTCTATTGTAAAAAACAAGTTCAGTTGTGTCTTACTCTTCTTGAAAAATATCCGACAATTGGAGGATAGGTGTTGCAATTAAAAGTTTACATCAAATAATGTGTGTAAATGTTATACACTTAATACTTCCTCTCTAAGATTTAGATTAAGCTATTCTTCTTGATTATGTTTATGACCCAATAATTATTTATTCAGTCTTAAAATGCAATGGGGTTTTCAAAGTAGGTTTGCATACTGCAAAAAAATATTTGGCTCAGTCAAATCTGAATGCTACGTTTCATTTGAGTTAAAACGACTGTCAAAATTCCTCTCTTGCAAATGCATTGCAAACTTTCTTGCAAACTGCACACTCATGCATAAACACCCACAAGTAACTAATAACGTTATATCTTCAGCTTCTGTCTGTAATCTTCTGCTGTTGACTATTTGGGACTCAGAGTTTTTAATCTTGTAGCTCTACAAATTGGTTGCCCCTAAATATGATACATACCATCTCAATAGCATACTTTTTTCTCCACAAAATTCCTAGACGCAAAAGGAGATGGTAGGAGAAAATATGGGGATTTTAAGCCAACATTAAATTGAAAATAAAAATAGATTTGGCAAGTTGGAATCATTCATCCTCTAAATAAATGTACTATTTTTGAAAGTGAAAAATGAATGACAAATCTCATTTTCTGAGGATCTCTCGTAACGTTAATTACAGATCGTAGCGTATCAATTGGGCATACAATGAGGTTAAAAATGATTGTTGTTCAAACACTACAGTCTCCAAATACTGCCCTTCTATTGGACTTAAGTAGTGTGGAAAAAAAGAGAAGAAAAGAAAAGAAAATGTAAGATGACAAAATTGAGAAAACTAACAAAACTTTTTAAAAAACCTTGAGAAATTAAAACAAATCTAAAACTGTCCCTGAGCTAATGATGATGATTTGATGTTAATAAGAGAGGGAGTAAGGTGCCTAAAATTAAAAAGAAAAGTTGTTGAAACCGAAAATGTCCACCAGCTTTTAGCGTGAGTTCAGGTAAGACATGCACTGTGGCAACGTATAAAAATGTGCCTGCACTAAACAGCATAGCGATTCCTGTGGCATTAACTGAGGATAGAGTCTCTTTTCCCTCCTGAAACAAAAATAAAATTTCAGATGACCCATAAGGATAAACACTCACTTTCTGGGTCCTCATTGAAGCGAAGGACAACACTTTTTGCAAAAGCCAATTTAAATGGGCTTGGTGAGTTCCTAAATATTTTCAATTTCTGGGGATATAGAGTCAGTAAGTAGGTTATACAGTAGGGTATCCCAGGATTAAGTATGAATATTGAAAAAGTCGATTCTTTTAAAAAATTATTTTGGAGCAACAATCAAATATTTCAAATCAAACATAGTTGGGGCTATTTGATATTCATAGTTCAAAAAACATCGTTTCAGGAAAAAGCCTTTTAACATCCTGATCTCTTGTGATTTTAACAGAATCTTTCGGCTCCTTTCAGTTGAATTAGTTGAATTTTGAAGAATACTTAATTCAATAAAGAACCCCGCATAGAGCATGGGGTCAGCGGCTCTCGACGAAAGTTGATAAAACTTTAATAGATTGATATAAAGTTCATAAATAAGGGGAAGCCAAAAAATTAGCTCACTTTTGCGAGTAGGAGCCGAGATATTTGCAATTGAATCCGGACTATTTTCTATCATGCCGCAGCATGGCTTAAGGATTCCGGGTCCCCTCTCTTCTCGTTGTTAGGCGTTCTCGATCAGACCACACGTCACTCACGTGAAGATAGGTGCTTGTGCGCTCGGCCGGTGCGAATGCTGCATTCCCTCCCTCTCCCCGCATCTGCCAATTCTGTTTCAGCAACTACATTTCAGATTAAACCGACCGGCGGCGGCGCCGACACGGGAGAGGTGCGAGAGGCAGGGAACTCCATATCGCACAGCCCGAACGGAGCGTCCTGGAGTGAGTGTAAACAATGCGACATCTTAGTTACCTGGTGGGGAGAGGGGGTTTCCTGGCCGAAGTGCTGAAGCAAGTTAAGGCGACACGGAGAATTTACCTCCGCTGCACAGAAAATAGTCCGGGTGCAATCGCGAATATCACGGCTTCTACTCGCAAAAGTGAGCTAATTTTTTGGCTTTCTCTTAATTATGAACTTTATATCAATCTATTAAAGTTTCATCGATTTTCATCGAGAGCCGCTGACCCCATGCTCTGTGCGGGGTTCTTTAGTTGTTACTATACCCCTTCAGTAGAACAGCAGAAATGCATACCTGTCCGATGCCAAAATAAGTAAGAAGAGCCATCACAGGAGCTGCGAGTGAAAAAACTAGCAGGTGCTTCCGCGTTCTTTTCCGGTCAACACCTTCAGTGAGTAAAAAAGTAACTAGACCAAAGGCAGCTGGAGCCTACAAAAAAAAAGATAAAATAAAAAATAATTCTAATGAAAGGATACAATATCACAATGAATTTTAAAGAATAATGATGATTTGGATGTATTTCTATCAAACGGAACTGTGTGCATTATGACGTGAGCGCTGTTTTGCACATATTGTCTCAGGGCTTATGTCTTAATGCACGTAGTTCTGTTTGGCAGAAGTACATACGTACGTATAGTACATACATACATACGTACAGTACATACGTATAGTACGTGTAATCAATGTATATTGATTACACGTACATTGATTGATTTTTTGGGAACTTTTGAGAGGTAGGTGAATGTAATTAAACTGCAGAGAGAGCGAGAGTGATAGACTTGTGCAGTAATAGCTAAATATTGTGCCAATAAGAGCCAAGTAGCACTGACGCTGACAAGTCCCAATTTGATCGTTAGATTGATGCAGTTTAATCAGCTGCTCTGCGATGGAAGAAAGGAAAGAGGGCAGAGGAGGGAAAGACGCTTACTTTTGGTGCTTATTCATGGCAAAATTGGATCAAACTGTATATTAAATGCTTAAAAAATTTAAGCATTTTCTAATGGAGACCTCCCGAACCCCCTTTGGCCCCTCCAGTTCTTGGTGTAAAGATCCACCAATGTCTAAATGTGAATTTTTTGGAAACTTTATAACATAATCAAGCAAAATAATGTAGGTGATCAAACAGCGTGCTCCTCTTTCCTTTTCTTGCACCAGCCAGAGAGATAAGATTCAGTTCAAAATAAAAGGCTCCACATCTTTGATTCAGCAATAGTGCCACTTTTCCGCACAGTAACACCAGTTACATTCCTGAAAAATTCCCTTGACAGACACAATTTTCTCGAAATTGGCACACAGAAAGTTTGATTTTAAAAGCTCATCTTACTATGGAGATTGTCAGGATTATCACATAAAAAATTTCTCAGTATTTTGTGCGTAGTCCTTTCATCGACTACCCAAACACACTACGACAATTTTATTTTCAAATTTCATGATCTAGCTGTTATATCAATAAAAATAGAAAACAGCGTTAAAGGGAATTATTATGGTTAGAGGATGAATTTCGAGTGTTTTTAACGACTTAAGTTTATAAACCTTCAACAATACCTTGTGCAACATGATTGCCACAAAAACAATCATTTCTACATCTGTGTGAGTGGTCGTGGCTGCAGCTCCAAGCGCTACACCATCAACAGCAGAGTGAACAACTAGACCTAGCGTCGCTGTCATGTTTCCTTTATTGTTTATATTCATTCCAGATTCTACATCTAAAAGAAAAGATGGAAAAAATTATTTAAAAAAAAAAAAAAAAAAAAAAAAAAAAAAAAAAAAAAAACACATTACCTATATGAGGTTTTAGGGCCAAAGTGCTTTTTTACATTGCATAGTTTTTACTCACATTGCTGCAGTTCTACGTGGGCAAAAGACATTTTTCTTGCATTTCAGGGTTTATCCATGACACACAAATGATTACGTACCTATTAATATAACATTCCCAGGGTATTGGAGAAATTGTGTGCAGAAAATACACTGCCTTCCACTTCAGGATGAATCACTTCCAAGATTGTTTTTTTTCTTTCCCTCCCTTCATGGGTAGAGAGAGTGTTCGTCCCCTGGAGATTCCTTAATGGATTCTATTGTAAGTTCAAGAGACCTAAAAGGCATGCTGTCATGCCAGAGAAAAACTACAGACGAACATACGGCTCCTATTATTAGAGCTAAAAGATTCTTCAATGTGAAGACAATTCCACACAGGCTAGTCATTCCTGTGCACAAGTCTGAGACACTGCTGCGGGGTGATGGCAGTTAGTTTTAGTGCATATTTCATGGGATCATTTTGGGATGAACAAGTTCTGGTTCCAGGCAGGGAAGTGGATCACAAAGAGATGCCTTATGGCTGACCTGCGTAGATTGGTCTTATTCGTTGGATATTGTACCGAAACTTTAAAAGGAGAATTAATCAAAATTATTACATACCTTTTGTAAAAGATGTGGAGCATTGGTCTATTAGCAACATTAGGACAAAACCTAAAACTAGGGAGACTCCAATGAGCGAGTGTAAATCTGTAGTCTCGACTTCTAATTTGAGGTCAGTTGGAGATGCATGTTTCAGTTCTGGAACGAGAGACAACAGTGATTAAATCAAACTCTTGCTTTCTCAGAGAAAATCCTGGCACAGATGAGCATGAAAAAGACATGTACATAACACATTCTTTGGTTTGATCCGAAAATATGCAAATTTTAGCGATCAACCTATGCTTCCAAAACTACGAAAAGCATTTCAAAGAAATGTAACTGAACGTATCCACTTTGCAAACAGGACTTGGTCTTCTTTTCAAAACATTTTAGCAAGTACTCTCAGGGCTCCATTTTTCAGGTGAGAAATTTTAGTACAATTGGAATAAAAATTCAATATTATTGACAGAAACAAAGGTCTCTTGCATTCTATTGAGGTACATGATCGAGTAGGGATGACGTATACAAGAAATAAAATGTAGGAATGGAGCGGGATTAGTCAAAAGGCTACTTGAAGAAAAAAAAACTAAAACTTTAGAGCACTTCTTAATGGATTATATATTTTGAGCATGAAATATAAAATTAGCAGTCACCACTCTGGTCAGATTCAACATTTTTGCGCATTTCTGGTGCCTAAATATTCATTCAACACTTCCTGGAACAATAGTACCTACTGATTGCTTAATCTTGAGTTTTTCAGCAATTAGGTTCCTTCCCCAAGAACAGTGACATTATATTGCAAAAAAAAAAAAAAAAAAACCATTGCAAAATTAGGTAATCCTTTGCATATTAAAAAGAAACTTCCATTAAAAATTTGCAGTTATTGATGTCATAAGATTTTCGCCTTGATTCCAACATGATTATAAATACATGATTAGGAATATTTCACTATCAAACTTCACCATACCTTGATGCAGAGTTCAAAAATACAACTTCATCTGGGAAAATCTAGGCCAAACAGATATGGCCCGCCAGAATGAAAATTATGTCAAACTGATCTTGTAGGCTCTAGGATTTAAAATTTAAAGAAATTGAATTGATTAGCTTCACAAACCAGGTGCTCCAACAGAGGAAAACAAGGCTCTCACTCCTTCGGGTATTATCACAGCTAATGCAGTTCCAACCAGTAAGCCAGCGCCCAATACAGACACATTTTGCATTTTGGACTAAAGAGAAAAAAAGAAAACAAAGACTTCATAAGAGTGTGAGGAGCATACACAGCTTTCTATTCATGATATGTGAGTTATCATTAATTAGTTTCAAACAATTAAAATTGCAGTAGGCACTTAATGATTCCCCATTTAAATTAACTGAAGTAATCGTGTGAATGTTTTCAGTTTTTATTTTAATAATGAGAGGGAACAACTTATATTAAAGTAGGTAAGTAATTGAGTATAGAATTGATGAAGCAAAAGCAGACCTTAAAATGTCACACAATCTGCAAGCAACATTGTAAATCTTGTCCATCATGTGCTAAAACTAATGTCAATCTCGGAATAACCACCACAGAATCAGCATTCTGTAAAAATTCTACACATGGATACAAATAGCACCATAGATAGAATGATTTGATTTTCGCTTCATTGTACGATTCCATTGACAAGGAGTTAGGAATATTTACAGGGCAGTTGGAAGATAAAACTAGAGCCCCATTATCTACCTCCTTGATGTTGAGTCATAATTCGAATTTCTGTAGACCTGTTATAACTGTGATTTCTCAATATTTACTGGAGCTGTTAGTTGATCCATGACTGGGACGTAAGGAACATCAAAAGAGTTGGAATTCAAGTCCTTATTTCAAAGCTTCCGCACACAATAGCTGGTATGAAGCTATAGGTGAGCACCTAAAGCACTGTGCTAACATTTATCGTCACTTTAATTTTATGTACGCATTTCATATTGCATCAGAGAGGTGCCAGAGAGAGGGCCGTTCGGCGTAGGGGCTTACTCCAGGATAACTGAGACTACTGAATTTTGAGGGATATAAACTGAAAAATCAGTGAGCGTAAAGGAGACTCCTTACCTCTGACATGGGCATGACCAAGGGGATGGACCCCACTAAGTAGCTCCCAATTAGCATTACTAAAGATAGTAGTATAAGAACAGTTGACTCCTCCATATCAGAAGATTTCGACTCTTGCAATTTTGACACAAAAATAAACAACACTTCGCACTCTAATATTAATATGAAAAGGAGAATAATTTCCTGGCTACGGATGTTTCCATTTCTGCTACTTGAAAATTAGCTCAATACAAATGCCACAAAGATCAGAATAATCAACTCCAAACTTCAAACGTGCCATGTTTACATTATGGAGGAGAAAACAAAAACAAAACAAGACCAAAATCTTCCATGGGATAATGAAGAAAGGTCGACGAACGTCTGCTACTTGCGTGGTTGTAGTTACATTTTTACGTTTTCCTCATCTCTGATTGGCTGAATAATTGCTTACTAGCGACTCTGGCGACATTAGAAGGTACTACTTGCACTAGAATCTGCGCGCACAACACACCTGTAGCGAAAATTGCCGCATAGCGTTTTGAAGGGAAATTAAAAAAATTGCGAATTCTCGAGCACTTCGAGTACAGCAAACATTTGTTATTGTAGTGTTCTAATTTACAAAAGTTGCTGATGCGAATGCGTGTTTTAAATTCCTCTTTACGCATTCGTCATGGTTTGAACCTCCGCCACGCTCCAAAATTGTTTAACCGAGAACAATTTCAAAGACTTCTCGTATGTAATACAATTTGAAAAGCAGTCGAGCATTTATGGATCTACTACCTACATTCCTTTATGACGCCCCTCCCCCTCCCCAGGGCAACCACGTGCAGGGTAAGGATTATCATCCCCCAACCGCTCTCCCCCTCCTCAGACCTACCGTCCACCGTCAATAGGTACATGAAAAAGGATCTACCTATTCCGAAACTATGAAACCACGTTCACATGCCTGGATTTTTTTTTTTTTTTTTTTCCCCCCATTAAAAAATTGTCATGCTTTCAATTTTCCGAGAGTTTGCGAACCTCTTTTGCATATCTTGAACTTACCAATTATTAAGTATTCAAGTTTAGAGGGGCAATCAAAATCTCTTCAAATTATAAACTAATGTCAAAGAGAACAAAACTAGGTTTTCATCCTGCCATAAAATCTTATTAGTGATAGTTGCTAGCATATTATAAAAAAAATAAAAATAAAAAAAAAATAATTAAATAAATTGTGGTCGGAAGTAGAAAATATTCAGTAAACACGATCGGAAAGTTCTTCCAAACGTTTTCCATTAGGGCATACCATACAACCAGACATGCTCACCTTTTACTTCATGAAAGGTGCGGAATGCACGACGGTGGGGGGGGGGGGGGGGGGGGGGGGGGGGTGTTAAGGGGTGAACTTATCCGCCCCCTCACTGAAAGTTTCCTCCCTTTTTTCCACGCATATGCATCCCGCACTTTGAAGCAAGTAAAACAGGTACGTAGCCAAGTGTCCGGATGAGGAAGGGGAAGGGGTATCTTCCCCCCGCAGGAAAAAGGGGTCCGAACTTCTGAAGTCTCCAAAATTTTTGCAAAGAAACCCTTTATTGACCTCGAGAGGGGGGGGGGGGGGGAGTGAGTCCCTAAAGTTCGCTTCTCCACTTGGCCATGGCCACGTGCCTGACGCAAGATTAGAGAGTAATTCAAAAATTTTCAGGCATTGCTTCATTGCCCTCCCTGAATTCGTTTTCTAATTTTCATCTGAAATTTTCTGAAAATGATCCAGCTGGCATTAAATTTCATCTCACCAATTACTCCGAACTTTGCGTGATTTCCGCATGTGAGTTTGCTTGGATTTGCTCTGCAATTTTTTTACTTCCGCTCTGGATTTACAATAAGTTCCATGGACTGGCTCTTGTGATGCTGCAATTCGATTGGTTTCAGGGCAAATCAGAGTTGGGCGATAAGGGGCAATGTTTTTGATTAGAACAATAAGGATTTGTTTACAATTGTGACCCCGGTTTTGTTTGAAAAGAACGTTCACGCAGTACATTTTCTGCAAAGATCCCCGATGTTTTTTGTTTCGCGAGCTCCGATTCATGATTCATGATCGTCAGTGAAGAGGACCTTGGATCCGAGAAAAAGTTGAGCAAAGTTTTTCGCCTCTTCCTCCGCGATCGCGCCAGACAAAATCACAACACTCATTATAATGATATCGTTTGTTCTTCATTTTAATTAGCAATTTTCTACTGTTTAAATTATAAGTTCTACCACGACTGTTTCTATGTTATTTTCTAATATTATATCTCGTGAAAAGTGATTGTTTTGAGTGTTAATGAACCAATCTAGTTCCTGGCCTGTACTGGGCTTCAAAATTTTCATCAAATCATGAATCTCGTTTGTCATGAGCTCAAATTATGTTTCGTTTTGTACAGTTTCTTAATTTCACAAGTGTTTAGCGAAGATGGCAAAAAAATTAAGAGTGATGATCATTTTAGAACAGCTAGCACCACTTCAAGACCTTTCTCTAGGACTTCACATACCACCACAGAGGAGCCAATCACTGAATCATCTGGTAAACAAATTTTCCTTTTCATGCATCCTTAAATTTACAGATACTTTTATTCTATTGAGGGGTTCTGCAAATTGCAAAAAACATCAAGTTTTTCATTGGATAAAGCTGTTAATGAAGATTGTTTGAGAGCCTTATCAGTAGTTTCCTAACCTCTTAACGTCTGTTCTTCTCCAATTCTCATGGTCATCGCTCTAGTAGAGATACTTGCCTTCAGTCAAAGTGGCAGTGCATTATACCATGATTTTTGTTATAGAATTCTATGAGTGCAGTATGCCAGGACTGTATTCTTAGTTACTTCTTACTTACTTCTGTATTTTGGCTCTCACTCCGCTGATAACAGCGTCTTTGAGCTGCTGCCAATTCAGGCTACATTACATAAAAGTCTTGAAGTTTCCGACAATGAACAGATCTGCTTACGGCAGATAATATTTCTCCTTTTTTAGCCATTATTAGTATTTTGAAATATGTCTACTCGTCTGAAAAGGTATGATAATATTGTTTAAATGCGACGAAAATGATACTTCCTGCTTCCATACGTAATCGAATTAGATTAATGTTATTCTTGCTGACTGGCTTTGGTTATCCTTAGCATTTCAAGTGTACTAGGCTTATTGCTCATTGGGTTTTTTAAGAAATTGAAAGGAAGTGAAATTTAAACAAAATTCAGCTCTTTTAAAGAAAGCTCCCATCATTGGTGTTAAACTGATTCTTAACACACGTTGTTACACTTCCCTACCAGTTAGGTTAGGTTCTCTTAGGGGCTATTAGTGGTAGATTAATTTCTAACATTTGCTTCAGTTTTCAACAATCATAGTGGAAAATTGAGGTTAGAAATCAGCCGCAAGCGTCCACTATAGGAGACCCCCAAAATTCCTGTAATAGGTGTGCACAGCATAGACGTGTAATTGCTTCAACAGCATGTTAGTTTGAACGCGCTATAGGTTTGAGTACAAGCTTTTATAAGAATGTGTACCATTTTTCCCCCAGAATACTTAAAAAAAGCCAGAGGAAATGAAATCTTCCATAAGAGAAAGGTCCTTGAACTGGTCGTAGAGTGCTCTCTTCCAATAGACCCCTCTCAACCGGTAGGACATATCCCTAAAAAGGACCCCCTTCGACCAGCACGGCTGACCCCTAAAGAAGCCCCCCCTCGTACAATACAGCATGTACCCTTATAAAAGGGTCCCCTAAAACAAACCGGATGTAAAGAATCTCCTGTATTCGGTTCCTAAGACTCTTAGAAGGACCCCCAGAAAATTGTCCTCAAAAAAGGTCATCCTATGTGGGGCTTCTTTCAAGCACCAGATTGAAGTTTCCAGGGGGGAGGGAGGGGGGGAGAAGGGATGGAATTTTCTTATCATCTTCCTTTTGTATTTACTACTTTTAGTTTATTAAATGACTCAAGGAGATCATGAACTCTTTTATTAACACGTTTGCAGCAAGTTTTTTCTTTTTTCTTTTAAATACAGGGGAAGAATACTGTAGGGATGTAGAAAAAGAGAAAAAACGTGTTAAGTAAGGCATGAGATGTTTGTAATTCATTATTATTCCCAAAGTTGAAAAGCATGTGTAGAGTGGTGTCAACTTCTGTACCTACTTAACTTCTTTATATTGAGCCCAATTGTTGCTTTCACGCTCCTTACAGATCTTTAAAGCAGAACTCTGAAGCATGAGTATCATTCAGATTTATCAAAAGCACTCGTATCGATTTCGAATCTGATGCATCTTTCTCCTTTCCCTCGAAAAGTCTGCGAACCCCCCCCCCCCAAAAAAAAAATCTACGAAGGCAAAAATCTGAAAATTCTCGGAAAGACATCACACGGATGACAAGCCTCCAGTTGAATATGCAGGTTCCAACCCTGGATCGCACCAACTGGCCGCATAGCCCCGCTCTTAACTTCTCAGTTTGAGGACCAATAGAGTAATTACCCACATTCTCTCCATGAATGCAAGTTATGCTAATTTTGCGGGTGAAAAGCAACTTTGAATAATCACAATTTGTGTGTCTCTGTCACTTCGCAACGTAACGTCGATGTCGCCAGGCTGAGCAGTGATCGTCACCTTACTGCTCTGCCGTCTTAAGTATAAACGCCGTATAAGCGTTCGAATGTCGCCAAATTTCTTCTTTGAGAATATTTATTTCTGAAGAATGTTATGAATATAACAACTCGAAATTGTCAGAATTTTTAGATCAAATTATGAACGGAATCCTCTGACAAATCGGAGAAGAAATATTCACAAATTTTCCTGAAAATTCTTGATTTTTCGAAGGAAATTTGGCAATGTCTGATGGCTTCATACGGCGTTCTTACTCATCACGGTCTTGTGCGGTAGTGTACTCCGCTGCTCTGCACTTGAAGTCGGAGCGAGTGCAAGTCCTTGCTTCGAATCCCAATTTGGGGCATACAGGACAAGTCGGAGCTGCTGTGCGGAGGCGTGAATAATCGATTATCGATATTCCCCCATTTGAAGCTGTGGTAAAGAATCGACTATTAAGGTGTTCGCTGCAAACACTCTGTTTGTTGATCCTTTTCCACAGGTTTAAACGGCAGAGGAATCGATCTATCGCAAAGCACGTCATGCCACTGCAGAGCTCAGGGCACTCAGTTGAAAATTTTACTATTTTTTTCCGAATCGAGTCTCTTCCCTCATATTCCTAACTTTGGCTAAGACGTGGACGAGGAAACTGGAAGTGAAAGGATTTTGACGCAAGGAACCGTTCTTCTATGACGTCAGCTACTTTTTCCCAAGTTTTGAAAATCCCCCCTATCCGCCGTGCTAGGGCCCTTCTCCTCATTCCACCTCCATTTGCCGTATTTCAGAAATAACATATTTTCTTTCAGTTACCAACCTTTAGTGTCATCATAAACGGTTTTTTATAAACGCTGTATGCATACTCTCACGTTATGGACTTGTACCAGCTAGGGTGTGAATGCAAGCAAGGCGCTCTCTTCAAAGTCTCGAGTAGCATACGATTTATCAAACAACTGCGAGTTCAGGATGCAAAGCTTAAAGCTGATCAAATAAAAGACGTAAGGCGTCATTTACGCATTGCCATCAATGACTAATGATTTTTAACGCTTCCATTACTTACCCTTCAGAAGTCGTTTCTGGAATTTGCCGCTGCACGAATTATTTCCTGCACGAGATTCTGCAGAGGTATCGTGCAACGGTGCAATAAGCGATTTTGAAACCACCAAAATACGAAACCATAGATTTGGATTGCTGTGTTCGAAAGTGCACTTACACTCGTATTTTATTTTCTCCGGAGAATACATTCGACTTTTCTGCGCAAAATTTTCCAAAGACACCCTTGAGAAAACGGAGAAAAATCAATTGAAATTGCTCGCCGAAACAACGAGTAGGTTTTTTTTCAAAAAGAAAGATGCGGCAAGAGATCTGCAACGTCGCAAAGTTAGGTACGCAGTTTCGTGCTTTTACGCAAATTTCGATACTAAATTCGGACCCAATCTTGCCCTCTCAGAAATGGAGAAATGGACGAGGGCTCAGTTGGGATACTGTGAGTTCCTTAATGTAGAGAATATGGATCTGGCAGTGGGTCCCATTGAGACCCTCAGGGCTTTAGGGTCCAAAAAAATGGCAGGGGCGCAGGATAAGAGAGGGTTTTTGCCAACCGTTGACGGTTATCACTCCATGCACTTATTGTGAACCTTGCTCCACTAAAGGTTTAGGTTGAAGAGATTTTCTGTCATCGAATGCGCAAATTTGGATTGATAATACGCCAATTCGTGTAAAATTAGAGTGTCTACAGGTCAGAAAAACCCAGAAAAGAGGGAATTTTGATAAGTTTGGTCAAGGATTTAAATGAAAAAGACGGGCGATGCTTTCCCTCCAAGTTCGTTGAAAGTATGAAGTTGTAGTCCCTGATTTTGAGTTTTCACCGCGGCGGAAGTAAATAATACCTAGTGAGCTTGTTCAGCAATGTTTAATTCCTGCATTTTTGAAGACCAGAGAGTGCAGAGAGTTGACAGGAATTTTCCCCGACTTTTTTTTTAACACTATTGACTCAGGAAAAACAAGCTTAAAGTTGCGTAATTTGAGCTCGTTTTTCGTGGGTTAATATTATCGAAAAAAATCAGGAAAAATTCGTGTAAACTCTCTGCTCTCTCTAGTTTTTAAAAAAGGAGGAATTAATCATTATTTAAGAAGCTCATTCTTGGTGATTTTGCAACGGAAAAGTCCGCATTTTTTGGGTCCCAGTGAAAGCTCGATGAATCCTCAGCCAGGATGGCTGAACCGCTGAGGCAATCATAGGAATAGATCTTCCATTGATTCCTTGACTCTCACTGTACTCGAAGAAACAGATGTAGATTTTCGAGTTATTTTCAACGTCAATGGGGCATTTTAGGATTTCTCACTGGATCCGGCAATGGTGCTATTATTCTGCGTGATTTTCTTTGTCGTTGTCAGACAAGCCGGCAGTGAGCAAGCGTGTTAATTGGCAAATTCTGCTCCTTGCGTGAAGATGGGGTTGCTGTCTCGAGTTGTTTTTCTGCATACCTCTCGTATGCCTCAGCAAGAGAGCATTTGCGTTATTTCCGCGGAGAAAGTCCCAGTTCCGGAAAAATTATTATTATATACCTACATGGGAAAATTGTTCATACACACTGGGAAAATACACATTGGATCTAGAGTCCAGACTCTTGAAAACATTGACAAAAAATACTCTTGATTCAATCGGATTTTTGCTTGAATCAAAACGAAATACGCTTAAATTAAGAGGCTTGGTTCTTGATTTAAGCTAGATTCTGATTAAATCAAGAGTACTTTTTCTTGTTGATGTTTTTAAGAGTTTGGACTCTAGATCCAATGTGGTTTTTTTTCCAGTGCAGGGTGTCTACTGAACGGAAAAAGTACAGATACACTGAAAAAGGACGGATATCGGGAGGTCGGTACGGAAGTACGGAAAAGGTACGGATTTCCCGTGAAAAAATTAGGAAAATTCAAGAATTCGAGGGAAATTGGTACGCTCCGTCACA